GGGTGCAGTTGGCTTCAGGAGAGGGTCCCAGTTCCAGCCTGGAAGCAGAGGGACGTAGGAGATGACCACTCTCAGGGTAGGGGTCCTGCTGTGTGAGCTGGACCAGCCCCTTCCTTCTGTGGCCTCGATTCTCTCCTCTGGGAAGTGGGTGAACAGCCGCAGAGACAGTGACGTGCTTGTTCCGATGGATGGATGTTTTCTGAAGGTGTGGCTGAGGCTCCCCGGGCCATGTTAAAGCCCCTGCAGAAGTGGGAGGGGGACAAGGCTCTGGGACTGAGGCTCAGGGCTTCCTGGAGAAGGAGGCCTCTGAGCTGAGCCTTGATGGTTCCCTGGGTTGGTAGAGAGGGAACACAGCCCTTCCCGGCAGAGGCTGGGGTCTGGGTAAGGGGTCTGTACTTGGACCCAGGTGCTTGGGGGTAGCGGCAGGGACCGCCTCGGGAAGGACTGGCCAGGGATGGCTGGCGGCCTGGGAGACCAGGAGGGCTGTAGTTAAAAGCCCACGGTGAGAGGTCTCATGCCCTTCCGGGGTCTGAGGCGCTGCAGGCAGGTCTGGGACAGAGTCGCCTCCCTATGCGCAGGCGCTGTTTGTGGTGCTGCTGCTGGGCTGGCTCTTCGTGCCGGTGTACCTGACGGCGGGCGTCATCACCATGCCGCAGTACCTGCGCAAGCGCTTCGGCGGCCACCGCATCCGCCTCTACCTGTCGGTGCTCTCGCTCTTCCTGTACATCTTCACCAAGATCTCGGTGCGCGCCAGGCGGCGGGCCCCCGGAGGGCGGGGCTCGGGCCGCAGGGCTTTGGGGAGTCTGGGCGGGGGCGGGACCCAGGAGACTGAGGTCCTGATGGAGGGGAGTCAGGGATTTCCGGGACCACGGTCACGGGGAGAGAGAGGCCTGGAAGGTCAGGGCGTGGGAAATGGGGAGCCTCTGAGGCGTGGCCACCGAGGCTGTGGCCCAGGCAGGAGGTGGAGCCGCGCCTCCGGGCCTGACCTCCCTGCGCTCCCCACCCCAGGTGGACATGTTCTCGGGGGCGGTGTTCATCCAGCAGGCCCTGGGCTGGAACATCTACGCCTCTGTCATCGCGCTCCTGGGCATCACCATGGTCTACACGGTGACAGGTGGCCGTGGGGGCCGGGGAGGGGGGTTCGGGGGTGTGGTGGGAGCCAGGCAGCCTGGTTGGCACAGTCCCACCTTCTGCCCCGAGGGCGTGAGCCAGGGAGCTGCCTTCGCTTTGAAATGTGTTCTCCAGCCCCCACCGGTGTGGTTCAGTGGATAGAGCGTCGGCCTGCGGACTGGAGGGTCCCGGATTCGATTCCAGTCAAGGGCATGTGCCTTGGTTGCGGGCACGTCCCCGGTGGGGTGTGTGCAGGAGGCAGCTGATTGATGTTTCTCTCTATCCCTCTCCCCTCCCCTCTGTAAAAAAACAATTTTAAAAAAAGAAATGTGCTATCCGGGAGGGCACTCTGGCGGCCTGCAGCAGGAGCAGCTGGTCCAGGCTGTCCCGCTGACCCAGGCCCCTTGCAGGAGGGCTGGCGGCGCTGATGTACACGGACACTGTGCAGACCTTCGTCATCCTCGGCGGGGCCTTCATCCTCATGGGCTACGGTATGTCGGGGGGGGGGGGGGCGGGGAGGTGGGGCGCGGGGCTGAGGGCAGGGTTCCCTCCGGGAGCTGGGACATCAGAGTCCCAGCGCGGGTTCCAGGAAGGGCCCTAGCCAGGTGCCCGGCCCCTGACGGTTCTGCCCACACAGCCTTCCACGAGGTGGGCGGGTATTCTGGGCTTTTCGACAAATACCTGGGGGCAATGACGTCGCTGACGGTGTCGGAGGATCCGGCCGTGGGCAACATCTCCAGCGCCTGCTACCGACCGCGGCCCGACTCCTACCACCTGCTGCGGGACCCGGTCACCGGCGACTTGCCGTGGCCCGCGCTGCTCCTGGGGCTCACCATCGTCTCCGGCTGGTACTGGTGCAGCGACCAGGTGTGAGGCGGGGCGCTGCGCGGTCCGGGTGACGGGGGGAGCAAGGCTGGGGTCGAACAGGAACTGAGGTGGGTGGGGCTGGGTTGAGGGCGTGGCCTGAGGGATGCGAGCCCTGCCGGTGGAGCTGAACCCCAGGAAGCCGGTCCCCCGTGTCCCCCCCCCCCCCCCCCCCCCCGCAGGAGCTGCAGGGAGCAGAATTGCTCAGCTGAGCCAGGCGGGGCCTGAGTCAGAGCCGCGTTGAGGCAGGAGGTGGGGGGGAGGGGGCCGGAGGCGGGGGGCCAGGCTGGCACAGGTGGTGACGCCCCTGTCACAGGTCATCGTGCAGCGCTGCCTGGCGGGGAAGAACCTCACCCACATCAAGGCGGGCTGCATCCTGTGCGGCTACTTGAAGCTGATGCCCATGTTCCTCATGGTCATGCCGGGCATGATCAGCCGCATTCTTTATCCGGGTAATGTGTGCCCCCGCCCGGCCCGCCGCAGGCCTGTGCCCACCCAGACCTTTCCTGCAGAAGGACCGGGTGTCCGCCTCCTCTAGGTTTGGGAGCCCGGCCATCCAGCCCACCTCCCACCTCAGCTCCATTAGAATCCAGCCCAGGCCAGGTCCTGTCCTAGGTGTGTCGTCCCTTTCCCCAGACGAAGTGGCGTGCGTGGTGCCGGAGGTGTGCAAGCGCGTGTGCGGCACCGAGGTGGGCTGCTCCAACATCGCCTACCCGCGCCTCGTCGTCAAGCTCATGCCCAACGGTGAGGCGCACAGGGGGCCCCGCCCCGGAGACACCGGCTGCCCAGCCCCACCCTCCGTGTCCCGGACTCACTGCCCCGTCCCCACAGGCCTGCGCGGGCTCATGCTGGCGGTCATGCTGGCCGCGCTGATGTCCTCGCTGGCCTCCATCTTCAACAGCAGCAGCACGCTCTTCACCATGGACATCTACACGCGCCTGCGGCCCCGCGCGGGCGACCGCGAGCTGCTGCTCGTAGGACGGTGCGGCCCGGTCCCCCTCCACCTCGGCGGCGGGCGGGTGCACACATTACCGGGATAAGGAACACCCCGAACCTGCCCGGGAAGGGGCCGGGGCGCGGGGCTGGGGAGGGTCCGGTGAAATCTGACCGCCCCGCAGGCTGTGGGTGGTGTTCATCGTGGCGGTGTCGGTGGCCTGGCTCCCGGTGGTGCAGGCGGCCCAGGGCGGGCAGCTCTTTGACTACATCCAGGCCGTGTCCAGCTACCTGGCGCCCCCGGTGTCCGCGGTCTTCGTGCTGGCGCTCTTCGTGCCCCGTGTCAACGAGAAGGTGAGCGCGTCCGTAGCTGGGAGCAGGCTGGCCCCGGAGCTGTCTCCTCCGCAGGGCGCCTTCTGGGGGCTGATTGGGGCGAAGCTGACTCTGTCTCCTCCGCAGGGCGCCTTCTGGGGGCTGATTGGGGGCCTGCTGATGGGCCTGGCGCGCCTCATTCCCGAGTTTTCCTTTGGCTCCGGCAGCTGCGTGCGGCCCTCCGCCTGCCCCGCCCTCCTCTGCGGGGTGCACTACCTCTACTTCGCCATCGTGCTCTTTGTCTGCTCCGGCCTCCTCACCATCGTCATCTCACTGTGCACGGCACCCATCCCGCGCAAGCACGTAGGTGTCAGCCTCTGGACAGCCCCCAACATGTGCCACGGGGCAGTGTGGCCCTCTCCGCTGCTTGCCAGCAGCTCCCAGTGGAGAGGACCGGATTCCCTATATTGAGGGCTGGCTGGGAGACCAGTTTGAACTCGAATTTGCAATCACGTTTTCATTTAATGACATTTATTTGAGGTGGTTTGGGGGAGATGTCTTGAAGATTGTGGGGAAAGTGATTCAAGTTCCCAAAGTCCTTGGCCTGGCCTTTGGGATAGAAAACAGGCTCATGGCTGAGGGACAGGACACTTCCCTCAAAGCCCACAAAAGGGTTTGGTCTTGTTCGGCTGCAGGGCAAGGGCCCCAGGACAAGCTGATTTGGGGCCAGACAAGAGGGCAGAGTCAGAGGATGGACAGGATTCCACGGGCGGAGAAGGGGGAAGGCCACAGGAGGAAATCCAAGCAAATACCCACAGGAAGGGACGGTTAGCAGGATTAAGCCGGAGTCTAAGCACTACAACTTTGAGCAAAGAGTAGCCTCTGGGTGTTGAGGCAAGGCCACGAGCTTTCAACACCCCGCTGAGGAGATTGGTTCAGCCAAAGGTCATGTCTGTGTGAGCTGAGCCTGGCCGTGTACACGCAGGACAAGGAGGATAGGCCATGCCATGTGGACAAGAGGCATCAGGCCCTAGTGGGAACAGAATCCCATGTGGTTCCTGCTCCCCTTTCCCCAGCTCCACCGCCTGGTTTTCAGTCTCCGGCACAGCAAGGAGGAGCGGGAGGACCTGGATGCTGAGGAGCTGGAAGGGCCGGCCGCAGCCCCCGTACAGAACGGGCGCCCGGAGCACGCGGTGGAGATGGAGGGTGAGGCACGGCCCAGGAGGAGGGCTGCGGAGCTGAGGGGGGCCAGGTTCCCTCAAAGTAACCGTAAGGCTTCAATTCCTCCCAGAACCCCAATCCCCGGGCCCAGGCGCGCTCCAAAGGTGCCTGCTCTGGTTCTGTGGAATGAGCAAGGGCGGGGCGGGCAGTGCCCCACCCCCCACCCAGGAGGAGGCGGACGCAGCAGCCAGGCGGCTGGAGGACATCAGTGAGGACCCGCGCTGGGCCCGGGTGGTCAACATCAATGCCTTGGTCATGATGGCCGTGGCCACCTTCCTCTGGGGCTTTTATGCCTGAGGCAGACCCTGTTGGGCATCCTGAGCCACAGGCAGGGCATTGGAAGGCTGTGAGCCCCCTTCCCTCTACCTTGTCTCTGCCTGGGGCTCAAGCCTCTGACAGGCAGTTACCTCCTGAGGCCCAGGCCAACCCCGCCTCTGCAGTCTCTCCCCCCCTCACCCTCTCCCCCTTCCCTGTACAAAATAAAGCTGCGTTCCCACATGCTGCTGTAGCCAGTGCTGTTCTTCAGGCTCCGAGCCTGGGCTGGCCTCCATCCGGGCTGCTCACAAGACCTTCTTTTCTGGAGACGGGAGCCATGTGGCCCTCCACTCGTCCACCTCCAGCTGGTGCTTCTCCGTCTCCCAGCCGGCATCCTGCAGCCCTGGGGAGAGGCCGTGGGGGATTGGTACTAGGGGCCTGCAGGGGTGGAGGCTGGGCTGACCCTGGAGAGAGCGGTAAGGAGTGGCCCAGGTGGGGTACAGGCCTTATGACCTGGCTGGCTTCCCTGGCCTCTGCTGGGTGACTTCTGGCAAAACGTGGGCTAACACCTCATCTGGTGCAGCAGGAACTCACTGAGCTAGCTAGCATGGAGAAGCGGGGGACGGAATGGGGCTAAATGAAAGACCAGGGCCAGTCATTTGTGAGCCTCCCTTCCCTCCAGGTTCTTCAATGCCAGCTGGGGTTACAGACAACAGGACACCTCAGGGACCATCCCAATCTCCATCCTCAGACACCGAGGCCCACACTTACACCCACAGAGAGAACCACATCTACACATCTCAGATGGAGGGGACAGGGGAGGGGGGAGGGGGGCAGGCAGGGCCCTGGGGAGAGCCTGCAGGATGTTACCTTTCAGGAACTCTGGGAAAAGCTTGTCCAGCACCCGGTGTGTCTCCTTGACAAGGACCCAGCTCTCTTTGTTAGGGTCTGGATGGGGGTACAGAAGAGGCATTCATGGGTCCCCAGGCTGAACAGCCTCTCTCCACCCAACCTGGAGGCATCACCAGCCTGGGCTGTGAGCTCTTACCTGCCCGCACCTGGCTCCTCAGCTCGCTCAGCTCTCTTGGGAGGGGCCCGCCTTCCCGCAGGGCTCCGAGCACCAGCCCATGTGTGGCGGCCCTCAGGACGGTCTCAGGGCCTGCCCCCTGGCTCAGGACCACCTGCACCTGACCTGGAGACCAGGGACAGATGGTACCAGGGAAGGCCACCTCCCCGTACCCTCCTGCTGCCCCCACTGCTTTGGCCAAACTGAAATCCCACTTTCCAACTCAACTTCCCTACGGCTCACTGCGCTGGGCTTATTTTGCATGCTTTTAATGGCTCGTGAGAATAAGCACCTTTCAACATACGACCTAGCAGACCAGTAAACGCTACAACTTTTTCCTCAAGAGGTGACTCCAGATGAGAGAGAAGTGGTTCCCCTGAGGAACCCAAAGGGAACGACCTTATCTGAGTGAGTGTGCTGCAATGCACAACCTGCTTCTACATGTCACCTTGTCTGAGCCCCAAACACGCTGCGGGAAGTAAGGCAGGCAGCTGGCTCCGCTTACAGAGCGGGAAGGGAATGCCATGGGGCACGCAGCTGTCATTTGACCACATTGAGTCTTAGTCAAGAGCTCGCTGCGGGGCACCAGGCGGACTCCAAACTGTGCAGGGCTTGCGGGGCTGGGGCTGGAGGAATGGCAGCCAACCCAGGCGGGGAGTCTAAGGCGGAGAACACTTACCCTGAGACTGGTCCCAGCGAAGAAGGTAAGGTTCTCGGTGTCCCTCGGCCAGCTGCTGCAGCTCAGTGACTCTGAGGAAGGAGTGCAGCGGGGAGGAGAAAGCAGAGGCAGGGTAGCACCCAGTCAAAAGAATAGCCACCTGAGCCATCGCTGCCTCTACTTCATGTCCGTCACCACTTCCCACCCCCCCAGCCATTCCTCATGCCCCACAGCCACCCTCCCTCTGCGTCTAGCCATCCATTTGCCCCACCCACCCACTATTCCTTTATCCAACAATTATAACCTTTTTTTTGTTGTTAATCCTTATCCCAGGGTATTTTTTTTTTTTCACTGACGTTTTAGGGAGTGGAAGGGAGGGGGAGAGACAAAGAGAAAAACATCGATGTGATGTGTGAGAGAGATATTGATTGGTTGCCTCCCACACATACCCAACTAGGGCCAGGGATCTAGCCTGCAACAGAGGTACTAGCCCTTGACCACTCGAACCCTGAACAACCTGCTAGGGCACAAATATACCCTCTATATCTCCTCTCTGTACACACTCACTGCACTCAAGCACCCACGCTGACCCCGTCTGTTCAGCGGAATTAAGGACCATAGAGCAGAGGTGGGTCTGGTCAAGGAAGGCCAGTGTGTAATTGGAATGAGGCGCATGTGTGGGGAGTGGGGGGCCAGTAGTGGTGAGTGGGACACTGGGCTACTTACCTGGAAACCAAGCGGTGTAGGGGGACCCCCAAGGACAGAGACAGAGAGGGCCAAAAACCTGTGGGAAGTTGGGAGTCAGCAGTCCCAGGCAGGAGGACAGACTGAGAGACATAAAACTTGACACCAATGGGTTGGGTCACCTGTCCACAGTGGCTCCATCTGATTGGCTGAGGTGGGGTCAAGCACCTCTCCCTTCTGAAGGAAGTGCTTCAGGACCAGCCAGAGCCGGACTTCATTCAAGGTCTCCATGACAAGGGCTCGGACGGCCCGGTAGTTGGCGTAGACGTGGAGGGCAGTGAGGAGGAAGAAACAACCGAGGCTGAAGCTGGAACGAGAGCGTGAGGCAGTCGGCAGGGACAGAGGCCCAGCCGGGCACCTCCGACCCTCGCTTGCCCTCGCTTACCTAGGGCAATCTGACACCAGGGGAAGCATCAAGAGGCTGGCCAGGAGCCCTGCCAGGTTTACCAGTGTCTCCTGGAAAATGGCAGATGGATTGGGAGTTGGAGGGCTCCCCTCCAGGCCAGACTGAGTAACCCTGAGTGCCTTTCACCATATCCCTCCCCGTCCCAGAACCACACAGGGCTCCACACACAGAGGTGCCTGGTAAGTTTTTAACATCTTTAGTGAGTACACTGTCATTTAAAAGATACCACTGCATCCTGGCCGTGGTGCCCAGTGGTTAGACTGTTGGGTCACTGGTTCGATTCTTGGCCAATCATGTACCAAGGTTGCAGTACCTGGGTTCTAGGTTCAATCCCCAGCTCTGGTCAGTGTATGGGAGGCAATCCATGGATACGTCTTTCTCTCTCATCAATCTCCCTCCCCACTTCCACTCTCTCTAAAAATCTGTGAAAAAAAAAATATCCTCAGGTAAGGATTAACAAACAATCAAAAAAATATGCCAGCTGCTTCTCTGGCAGATACAATGCCCTTGAAACATTTTCTTTGTTTTGCAGGAGTCAGCTGAGGAGTTCTATGCTTAGGCAAGTAAATGTCCACAGTGTGGGGAAGTGTTTTCTTGGTGGTTAAAAAGGGCACATTTTCCCAGCCAGTGGGGTTCAGTGGTTGAGTATGGACCTCATGGTCAGGGCACATGGGTGGGTTATGGGCTCGATCCCCAGTAGGGGGCGTGCAGGAGGCAGCTGATCAATGATGTTTCTCTCTCTCCTTTCCTCTCTGAAATCAATAAAAATGTACAAAAAAAAAAAAAAAAAAAAAAAAAAGAAGTTCTCTTTAGAATCAGAACAAAACAATCTAAGAGAAGGCCAGAAAGTAGAACTGGAGAGGAGAGGCTTCTAGATTGCTTCAGTGTTAAAGAAAACATGTCACACTTCTGACCTCCCTGGACCTCACTTTTCTCTCTCATCTACTCAATTCCTAGCCCCTCAGCCTCCCCCTCCCCCAGCTCCCGGGCCTCCTCCATCCACAGAGGCAGGAACACAACAGAGTGCAACCTGGGACGCGTTCAGGGGGAATAACATCGACCTCACAGGGTCGGTGTGTGAGTCCAATGATGCAACGTACTTAAGCACTCACCACGAGGACAAAGGGGGATGGCAGTGTTCGGGCTGTGGGGGTGGCGACACCCCTAACTCCAGGCTCCCTTGGTCAGGGGAGGGGCTGGGCCAGGCCTGCTAAACTGCTGAGTGGCTGCCCCGGCCAGTCAGTGACCCCAGCCACCTTGCCTGCTGAGCACTTTTTCACTTGCCATGAGCTTTAACCTGTGGGCCTCACATGATCAGAAGTCCTCCCTCCCAGAGTTGGGGCTACGGCCTAAAGAGGGCCAGGCCCGGAGCTCATTCTTGCCACATGGGCGATGGGCAGAGGCTGGGGTGATCAGCTTGGACTTACTGCCCCCAGGTGGTCCTGTACTCTCACACCGGAACACCTGCCCTGAGAGTCAGAGCACGGAGCACCCACATTTCTTCCTGCCAGGAGCGCTCAGATGCTTCTCTCCACACTCCAAACTGTGACCTGGCCTGCCCCCACCCGACACCCACCTCCCTCACGCCGTCCCCCCAGCCCAGCCGCTCACCTGGCTGCCGTCCTTGGCTGACACGTCGGCCATGTTGTTCCTCCGGGCCTGGTGCATGGTCAGTGCGGCCCGAGTGGCCCCGCCAGCCACGCTCACGATGCACTGTGGGGACGGCAGGAGGAAGTCAGAGTGGCCCGAGCTGTGAGGACAGACCTTCTGGGGTGAGCCACGTAAATGGCTCCAACGGGCCTGAGAAAGCAGGCTCAGACCCTAGAGCAAACCCCAGAATGCTGCCGGTGTGCTGCTTCTCGCTCTGCACTTCCACCAGGCCCACCTCCCGTCTTGTTCCAGGAGAACACTCCCGCTCTCCTGTGGACCTCACCCAGGGAAACCCGATTTCTCTCCAAGGTAGAGCCCCAAACCAGCCTCAGCCCAGAGCTTCTGCCCTCCAGCTTCTGCCCGGGCTGCACCGCCTAGGAAGCAGCTGTGCTTTTCCAGCAGTGAGGAGCCACCGGGTGGCAGATGGCCTGGCAGAGCACCCAGGCCATCTGCCACCCACCTGCATGCCTGCATCCTGCCTGCCAGGACCGACTCCACTCTCCCAGAGAAGGCCTAGGCAGCTTCCAGGCCAGTTCAGAACCCACACAGGTGGCCCTGACCTCCAAAGGGGACCTGGAGCTCCTCTCTGAGATCTAGAGCCAATTAATTGATGAGGGTCAGTGATCACCTTCATTCCTCTACTATTCTTAGCTGTCAGGCAAGACTGAATGGCCTGGTATGATTCAGGCTCAACCCCGCCCTCAGGAAGCTTATGCATCAGCGGATGGCAAACGAACACGCTGGTAGTGGGCAGAGGAAATCACTTGCTCAAAGGTAAGAGGATCGTGGAGCAAAAGGAGCTGGAGTGACTGGCAGGGCCCCAATCACACGGAACCTCGTAACCTTGTACAAGTCTTTATCCTGAGAGCAAAGGGCGGGAAGTGAGCTGATTTGATTTCCACTCTTAGAGGATGACTGGGCGGCTCTGAGGACGAAGAGGGTGAGAACGGAAATGGAGAGACCACCTAGGAAGCAGCTGTGCTTTTCCAGCAGTGAGGAGCCACCGGGTGGCATGCAGTGGAGGGAATGAATGGGGAGGTTCAGGAAGGAAAAGAACAGAAGTGAATGGAGATTGAGCTGAGGGTGGCTGGGGAGAGGGGAGAGGGCATGGATGACAGCCAGGCTTCTACTTAAGTGTCCCCGGGGGACAGAGGTGCTGGTCACTGAGAGGAGTGGAGGGAAGGAGTGGAAGAGGGGGAGTAAGGGAGGAATCTGAAGCATGGTCCACAGCCTCCACAGAGATGGCTCTGAGGTCTCCCTGGGGCTGAGGGGTGCTCGAGGCAGTTAGTGCACGGCCAGGGAGGCGGAGGCCCCACCATGAAGTGCGTGCCTGAACCTGGCAGCGTGCGGAAGCGGCAGGCTCCGGAGTGACTGGATGAGGGAGGGGCTCTGAGATGGGTCTCGGTCCTCTTAGGAATCTGGTCTGGGCCTGGAGCTTCATCCTGAGCGAAGACTGGCCAAGCTCTTTGGGAACCTGGCTGGGCTTCCGCTTCCTCATCTGGATGAGGCGGCCTGAAGGAGCTGTGAGGGGAGCGGCCAGGCGGGACCAAGAGCTCGCATTCACCCACGGCCCTCGCCTCACCCCCAGTCTGTGCTGTCTGACCTACGGCTGGACCTTGACCCCACTTCCTCCTGCTCAGAACTGCCACCCTGCACCTTCAACTCATTCTTCAGGCCCCCGCCCTGGGGACCTCCTCCATCCCTCACTGGGCCCATTCACGGCTGAGCCCTCCTGCCCCCCACTTCTCATCTGGACTATCCGGAGCTATAATTCTATACATTTGTTTAATTTCGTGGCTTTCTTCCAAAGACAGGAGGGCCCTCACTCTGTGCCAAATGTGCAGCAGGCAGTCAGTGAATATGCTCCTGAGAGGGAAAGGGAGCCAGGGAGCTGGGCCCAAGCTGCTGCACAGGATCGCCTTCCTCTCTCAGCTCAGAGCTCCCTCCCCGGACTGCGGCTCCAGGCCCACTGCAGACTGGGGCACCAGAGGCTGTGGCTGAAGGATCGGATTACGGCTGGGTCTGGGGAGGAGCATCTGAACCTTTTCACTTTTCTAGAAGTGCCCAGAACAGAGGGTCCAGGCAGGGCTCATCTGTGGGCCCCAAATGAGCCCACCGGCACCAGGATGCCCAGGTGAGTACCTTGGCCAGATTGCTGACGCAGATGGTTATGGTGAAACAGATCGGTAATATGGGAGCCATAATCTCGAGGAACATGGCGATATCGTTGAGGATGTCAGCAAAAAGCCTGGGGAAAAGACCAGAGGTTAGAGGTCAGAGGTGAGCGACCTTCACAATAGAAGACTCCCCTTCCCTTAGTCCCAGCTCCTCACCTCCACTGCTTGGCATTGCAGTCCAGTTTGCTCCTGTTGGGGGGAGAGGTTGGTTTGCGATTTGGATTCAAGAAGAAAACACGTCCTGTGAGCAGTGCAGGCCCTCCGCAGGCCATGGTAAGGTCTGACGGGCTCAGGAAAACCCACACCCCAGCAGACACCTGTCCCAACCCCGTCACTGCTGCTGAAATGCCCCCATTAGCTGGGAGGATCTCCGGTGGTCACTTAGTGCTCCCCCTTACTAACCCAGGACAGGCGAAGGTGTAAAACTGTCTTACGGCTGCGCCCCACCCTCTGGGCCTCCGCTGAGAGACGCCACCCCTGAGTCCCTTGCCGTCTCCCCGTTCCTCCTGCTTTGAGGGGGCCCAGCCTGTCGGCCCAGAGGAGGGCAATGACTGCCCTGGGACCACATGGACAGTGGGGGACAGCCAAGGGAGAGCAGGCCTGATATCCAGGCCAGGGTGTCTGTCACCCAGCACCACAACGCCCGCCTCTTCCTCCAGGCAGTGAGCCCGGCCCATGCACACACCCGGGACCACTCCCCATGCAGATGGTGCAGCCCCAGCACAGCTCAGGACCTGCAGCATTAGCCCTGACCCTGAACTTCAATCTCCCCGAGGGAACGGGCGCATCCCGGCGGGGAATGGCACTCCGGGGAACTCCTGAGGGAATACAGGGCAAAGGCAGGCCAGGAGCACACGGGCCTGGACTAGGGCTCTGCCCAGTGAAGCAGCCTGCTGCTGCCACAGAGAGAACGGGCTTTAGGTCCATGTCCCGCCTCACTGTTACACGCTGCGTGACATGGTAACTTCCCTCTCTAGGTTTGCTTCACATCTGTGAGAGGTATACACTCAACCCTACTCTGAAGAGTTGTGAGGGTTAGCAATGACATACAGGAGCTTGTGAGGCACAGTTAGTTAACAGCAGCCAGTGCTCACTGACACATATTATGTGCCACGCAATGTGCTAAGCACTTAGCATAAACTACCTCACTGTACCCCACAACCACAATGAACAGAAGACACTCACTCCTGAGGTTGCCCAGTACCGACCTGAGGAGGAAGCAGGCAGAACAAGACCTTTAATCCGTTCTAGACAAATGGTGATGTGGACCCCACGTCAGACAGGGATCCTGAGGACTTGCTCATTCAGCTCACAAGGCCCAACTAAGCGTGCAAACCTCACGGTGGCGTCTGGAGTAGAGTCACTCCTTTTGGGCTAAGCACTGCCCGTTCAGGCTCCTCTTCCAGCAAGCAGACAAAGGACTCAGAGCCCGCGACTCTGTGCTGTTCCGTGAGGGGCAGCAAGTGGCAGATCAGTTCTCTTGAAGGTAGATCTGATCACGGCAGTGGCTTTGTGCCTTCATTGCTAGGGGACCCGGGCAAGCCACCTGCTCTGGGCACTTTATAAAGACTCCTTAGCTCTAATGAAATAATTGCTAACCCTCCTCTCCCCTGGAAACTGGTAGGAGAGGAGGAGCTGAAAATACAGCCAGGGCTGGGACAGGTAAGACCACTGCGGGGAGAGTGGCCAGAAGTCTCGGACCTGGAAGACAAACTCACCCTTTCCACCAGGCAAAGATGATGCGACCCAGCATGCCGGTTGAATCTGGGGGAAAGAGGCATTGGTGAGGAATGAGAAACAGCCTTGGGCCCATGGGGCCTGGCACACCCCGGCGCCTTGCGTCACTGTCCTTGGAAGTGTAGCCTGGCACGGAAAGTTCTGGACAGACATAGCTCTAGGACGGGCCAGAAGCGCCTACACTTGGCAGTTCCTCAGTCGCACCCAGAGAACTCTGTACCATGTACATCAGGACCAGAAAGTCTTTGCGGCATTATTCACAACAACCAAAGCTGAGAAACACAAATGCTGGTCGATGGAATGCACAGTGAATTCTGCACAGTCAGAGGCACATTAGACAGCTTTTTGTGAAGAGCCAATGGATTGCAGCTACTCACATCAACATGGCTGACTCCTGGTAAAACCTGACATGAAATCAGCCATGAAGACTGTATACAGCACAGTGTACTTTTCATAAAACTCTAAAACAAAGAGTTTAGGTTTCTATCCAGATGGTAAAACCACCACAAGAGCAGGAAACGCTGTGTGGAAAGGTCCACGGTGATGTGATGCTCTGGCTCTCAGGCGGGGCCGCAGGCTCACAGGTGGTCATCAGGATGCAAATACATAAAAAGGATTCGAGCTGCAGGTTGGTGACAGGGAACTGGGGGTGAGGACAGAGGGAGAGGCCTCCTCAGGCTAGAAAGTCAGAGAAGTCTCTGGAATCAGCCAGACCTTCATTTGCACAACAGATGCTTACTGGCTACCTACTCTGTGCCGGACACAGAGACCTGGGGATACCACAGTGACCCAGAAAATGATGGCTCCAAATCCAGTGTAAAAGCAAAAATCAGTAGTCAGTATGAAAAACACAGATTTAGCCCAAGGATCATTAACTGTGGTGGTTGGGCTTCCAATCCTTGTCTGTGTAAATAAAATCTTACTGGAACACAGCTGTGCCCATTCATTTATAGCGTAAAAAAAACACCCCGCCCCCTCAAAAAAAAAAACCCAAACCCCACAAACAAACAAACAAAAACATCCAACAAAACAAAACAAAAAAGGAGCTGGAGCTGCCATCCTAGAGGAACTGCCTTGCATGTCTTAAGCATCAAACCTTTAGAAAGTCAAAACAAAGGAAAATAATCTTTAGACTGGAACTAAAGCAACCTGTGCCTAAGGAACAGTTTGCAAAGAAAACAGAAAGCAGATATGACGACTGTGACTGAAAATTAAACAGTGCTGAGGATCAGCACTACACTGCTATCTGCACTAACAGAAGTGCCTTCCTTCTGTGGATGTAATTGTTCCCTTCCCCTTCTCACATCCATTGCATTTGCCTCCTAACTGGATTTGGGCTTATGGCTGCATCAATAACTTTGCTTTCCACAAAGTTATTCTTTTTTCTTTTTTCAAACATTTAAAAAAATTAATCTGATAAATAATTTCTTCCACAACACCAACTATGGTAAAAACCTCAATAACATTTGTCAACCTGGTGTCATGTTCTATGTTCTTCTAATTAATATAATACAAAGTCCTGCCACCATGGCTCAATTGTTGAGTGTTGACCAATGAACCAGGAGGTCACGGCTAGATTCCTGGTCAGGGCACATGTCTGGGTTGTGGGCTTGATCCCTCATGTGGGGCGTGCAGGAGGCAGCCGATCAACGATTCTCTCTCATCATTGATGCTTCTATTTCTCTCTCTCCCTTCCTCTCTGAAATCAATAAAAATATATTTAGAAATGTATACATATAGTACAAAGACATTTATAAACTACAGAGCCACACAAATTTATAAACAAATAAAAAATTCTGAAATGTTAAGAATAAAGCTATCTTCTAAATAGCTTCATTTAAACTTTCCCCTTTCCTTTAATATTTTTCATATTCATGCTTCCCATTAATTTTTCACTAAACTCATTAAATCCTAGGTTTAAATATGGCTAAAGATAAAACAACAATATAGAGGTGAGTATCAACAAAATAGTTGAGTTTTATCAAGCTACCGAAAGCTATTCTTTAAAAGACAATTTATTCACCTAAACCAGTGGTTGGCAACTCATTAGTCAACAGAGCCAAATATCAACAGTGCAACGATTGAAATTTCTTTTGAGAGCCGAAAACCAACTTCTGCGCATGGGCCACGAAGTTTCAATCGCACTGTATGTGCGCCCACATGTGGTATTGTGTGGAAGAGCCACACTCAAGGCGCCAGAGCCGCAAGTGACTCAGGAGCTGCAGTTTGTCAACCACTGACCTAAGGCAAACATGGGAAAGTTAGAATCAAATCTTAGGTTCTGCATGGTTGACCTGTCAGATACATGGGAACATTCAAGATCTAAATGCCAAAAGGTTAACTGCCACTAGAGGAAGAAAGACCCTGGACACACTCGGCAGTGTTCAGCTTGCAGAAGACAGGAAGTCTGAGCTGGTACAAAGCAATGACAAGGTTTTAGCCCTAGTCTGAGAGCGCAAAATGTTATTACACCTGAATGCTAATTACCTGGAAGTAAGTTCCCAGCTTAAACTGCACTGACTGTTGCACTAAATGAACGAAGGTTAACAGCTCTGCAGACTTAATAAGGATAAGGCATTTAATCCATTTTCTGCCGACGAACTTCCTATCCGCCAGATATTACAGCATGTTCCACCTCGAGGCTGTCACAGTGGTGATCACTCCCAGACACATTCAACACGAAGTACGTATACGGCTGTGCTAAGTGCTTGGTGCACCGATGTTGAATGACCTCCTAACTTTTCCATAAATCTCATTACCACTAGCAAATCTGGATCTACTCCTATGTGGGAGCCAAAGTATGTTATGACTGTTGCTAGGTGACTATTTTTATACATTATGGTCATATTTCTGCTAAATTATTCTTAGAGTCTTTTTAGAATGCTGAAAAGATATTAAATTCACTGAATAAGAAGTTTTAATTTTGTTCCTCAAATATAATAAAATTCTTATATATGTTAGGCAAGTTATTAGACAAGTGATCTTTGATCATCTAATATTGAAGTTGTAAAGAAATTCACTTAAATTTTCTGGTGAGGTCAGTTTCAATTATCCTAAAAATGGTAAATGACCTATTATTTGTGTGTGAATCTAAAGTATATGCCTTGTGAAATCTGTAAGTCAAAAACAAAAATGTAAGCAGATGACTGTTAAATATATTGTTAACAGGTATGCTGGACAATAAACTCTAAGTTTATTTAATTTATATCTGCTTCATTTTTTATTGATTTAAGTATAAAGGCCCAGTTAATCAACTCAACAGATTGATCAAGGCAACACACTCAAAACTATAACAGGACTCAAAAGGCAGCGGGGCCCTGGCCAGTGTGGCTCAGTTGGCTGAGCATCATATGCACCAGGCCGTCATCAGTTTGATTCCCAGTCGGGGCACCTGCCCAAGTTGTGGGTTCAATCCTATTGGGGTGCATGCCAGAGGCAGCTAATTGATTTTTCTCTCCCCTCCAAAATCAATTAAAAGGATCTCTCCCCATAAACTTGTATAATGTTCTGCAGTATTTTGGAAGCTATGTAAATTGGACATGACCAAATTAGAGATGCCTGATAAACTCATAAAGTATTTGAGAACTTCAGCTGTATTCCCAAAAGATAAATTCTAAGCTATAAAAAAGGAAAATTCATATAAAAATCACAACAGATACCTTTGGAAAAAAAATCAAATTCTAACTCATTTGCTATTTCAATTATGACTAAGGGAAAAAGGTACAAGTATCGATAGTAATGCTTCCATTAAAAAACAACAACATTAACTGAGTGGATGGAGATGGGGGGGGGGGGGAAGAATAACTATACAGTATTATTGCATTCCACAAATGTGCAGAATTCCAAAGTGTGCCAGCACCGAAAACCTGTCTTGCATTGAGGTTTTCCACGAAGTACAATGAGCCTATCATCTGGTCTGCCCAGGTGTGGCTCAGTTGGTTGGGCACCATTCTGTGCACTGAAAGGCTGCTAGTTTGAGTCCCCATCAGGGTACATGCCCAGGTTGTGGGCTCGATCCCTGATAGTGCAGAAGGCAGCCAATCGACATTTCTCTATGAAAGCATCTGGTCTGTGTAACAGCTTACTGTCTTCAGGACAGGTCTTCATAATGTCAGTCACACTGCTCTTCAAAAATCCCTTAATGTCAGAGTTTTCAGTGCTGATGGGTGGGCTATGGTCGATGATGTGGGACTGAATCCATAAGCACACTGGGCTTCATTTCGTTGTCAAGAATTTGAACACGCTGTTGCATGGATGGAAGGTGACAGATTCCAGCTTAGACCACACAGGGACATCGTTCAAAGCTATCTCAAATGCACAGTTGACATGCACTCTTTCTCAATCATGTTGCTCAAGAAGAAAACCATCATACATGCATAGACCTTATTTACTTAGTCTCACTGCCAGATACTAGGAGCTTGCACGGCAAAGAAAGCAAAGGATCCTTGCCAACAACTATTCAGCCTATTGACACTAGTTTGAAGATGACAGGAAAGATGCTATGTGTGTATATATTGGTCGAGGGAGGTAAGTCTTGACTTCAGTGTGGATGTGTGGGTACCGCTGGCTAATAACCAGCAGATACTCCTCAAACACTGCCTGTGGCCTTAGGGAATACAAATCTGGAACTTGAGCAGCAGCCCCATGGCCTACTGCACCTTTAATCTCTTGCTAGGCATGCCGCCCAGGTTGGCTGAGGCATCGCTCTGGACCAACGCCAAGCCACCACCTGGAGCAGTAGCAAAAGTCTCATCTTAATGGAGCCAGCACTTCAACCACACTCAGACTGACTGCAACCAGCTCAAGGCTCGATCCGCCAAGGTCAGGGAGGGAGGCAGGAATCCCAAATAGCTATTCTTATTGATCTCAATAAATGCTGGTTGCCTCTATCTTTGAAAGGCCCTTTACGTCGAAACCGGTTTGGCTCAATGGATACAGTGTCGGCTTGGGGACTGAAAGGTTCCAGGTTCGATTCCGGTCAAGGGCATATACATTAGTTGTGGGCATATCCCCAGTAGGGGGTATGCAAGAGGCAGCTGATCGATGACTCATCGATGTTTCTAACTCTCTATCTCTCTCCCTTCCTCTCTGTACAAAATCAATAAAAATATATTTAAAAAAAAAGAAAAAAAGAAAGGCCCTTTACTTTTGGGTTAGCAACAGATGGATTATGGATGTTTTTGTGATACAATGGCAGAATCAGGTTGTTGTGACTGAAACTATACAGCATACAAAGTGTACAGAGTCTGCCATCTGGCCCTTCACAGACAGTGTGCCTGCCGTTTACACTACACCTTCCTCTGACATTAGCACTCATCACGTTCAAAGGACCGCCTGAGAATCCACAACGGGAAAGGCCTCATACAGGGCGCCGGAAGGGACATTCACAGCAGGCAGGGCTCCCCGCTTGTCTGAGCTGAAGGACGTGGATCGGTGTGGAGAGGCAAGGAGGCAGCTGGTTGTGGAGGGTGGTGATGTATATCAGCCTTCCCATTCTCCACGGAACAGATGTCCTCCTCCTCCCACAGCCTCGCTCTTTAGGCACCGAGGCCTTCTCACTAGACATCTTTTTTTAAAATATTTTATTGATTTTTTACAGAGAGAAAGTGAGGGGGACAGAGAGTTAGAAACATCGATGAGAGAGAATCATCAATCAGCTGCCTCTTGCACACCCCCTACTGGGGATGTGCCCGCAACCAAGGTACATGCCCTTGACCGGAATCGAACCCGGGACCTTTCTGTCCGCAGGCAGACGCTCTATCCACTGAGCCAAACCGGTTTCGGCCTCACTAGACATCTTTTACCCAGTTGAGCACTCTGGCAGACTCCTGAAATATACATGCCTTTCATTCTTCACAGCAGTCCTGAGTTTGAGAAGAATCATTTCCTTTCACAGATGAAGCAACTGAAGCTTGAAGAATACAGGTGAACAAATAGGGGGCAGTTTACAGAAGATCTGAATTCCCAGTTTTTCTGAAGGAACCTAAATTCATGGCTGCCCTGGACCTGCCTTCCCTTACCGCCACCACTAGCTGGGCTGAGCAGCGGCTGTCTCAGGCACGTGTCCAACCCAGTTCCCATCCAGCCTGCTTTGCTTCCCCTTTTCCGTCTCCTGTGTCCCTGCGAGTGGTACCCAGCAGGCTGGCTATAGCGGCATCCTCCCTTTGTCACTACCTTACCCTCCTCCCTTCAAGCACACTTGATTTAACACAAAATTTTCACTATTCCATTTAAGATGCTTGTACTGGATCAACTTAGTGGCTCTGAGATAGCAAGATTACTTCCACTGGCTGAGAGAGAGCTCGTTGGGCCAGACTCTTGTTTTTCTTCCCTTGACTCAGACTCATAACCACTCAGGTGTCCTGCATGCAAGGCCTACTCTGTCTTCTGTCAGCGGCAGTCTGCAAGGCCCCTGTCAGATCTGGAGGTTGGCACTAGGATGCAATAATGACCCATATCCTCCCTATTATCCAAAAGTCAGCACTGTCTATGAGACTAGGAAGCAATTTCTATTTGCCCGTCTCTGCCCCATTTACAATTAGCTGAGCTATAAGATCTAGAAACATTTGAGGCCCAGTAAGGGATCAGCTGTGCACAAATTGCACTTAGCTCCACTCTAAATTCCTAGCAAAGGGTGCTAAGAGTGGGACACAGGAGTCAGTCCGTCTGGGTCCAAATCCTGGCCCTGCCTTATGTCAGGCAGGTCACTAAACCTTGCTGTGTCTCAGCTTTCCCCTCTGGAAAACGTATTAACAACAGCATCCACCTACGGTAACACGGCTGCTGCAGAGAGTAAGTGACGTACCATGGAAGTGTGCACATGCCTGGCATATAGTAGGCTGTCAAAACATTAACTGCTAATAACATTACCATTGTTAGGTTTGACAATTGATAGCATGTTCCATTAAGAGATTTGTAACTGAAAATGACATCAAAACATTCCAAAAGACTTTCTTATATAAATCTCTACATAAAATTTTCTCATGTTTGATGGAGATGAGTCTGTAAACTCCTTTCTAGTTAAGATGGCTTTTAAAAATACCAACAACAGACTCTAAAGAAAATGGTTCTTTCACACCTTAAAGTGGTCTTATTTTTAAGATTAATCTAAAGACATATGTAGGCAGCATGCTGCTGATAATTCTAGGGAGCTCAGAAATGACTTGAAAACATCAACTGCTGACACGGGCGCCTACTGTGCGCCAGAGAGTTAGCCAACAGGAGAGTAAAGGAAAAGATCAAAGTTAGCAGCTTGGTGGTATGGAATGGACTCTGAACTACACTCCCTGGGTTCAAATCCATGCCCTCGTACTTACTGGCTATGACCACGGGCAAGTTACTTTCCTGTGCCTCAGATTCCTCATCTAGAACATGAAGGTAAGGACAATACCTATCTCAGAGCCACCGGGGAAGGTGAGTCAGTTTGTTTGTTTGTTTGTTTACTAGAGGCCCGGTGCATGAAAATTCATGCACTTGAGGGAGGGGGTCACTCAGCCTGGCCTGCCCCCTCTCATCTCAGGGGCAGAAGATGACCCAGTGATCAGGGGAAGGCAACCCTAGATAGTTGGGCAGCTGACATCCAAGGCTTGCCTGAGCCTTGGGCCAGCCCTGGGTGGCTGGGGCACTAAGGGACTGGGAGACTCTGGAGGCAGTCACCTCGATGGGGCTGAGCACTGCCATATGTGGTTGTAGATGCCACCATCTTTGAGGGCGTGGCTATTAATTAGCATATCCCCTCCTTATTGGCTGAGTGCTGCCATCTTTGGGACGATGTGAGGGTCAATTAGCATATTCCCTCTTTATTAGATAGGATTTATTTATTTAAAAAATTTTATTGATTTTTTAGAGAGAGGAAGGGAGAGGGATAGAGAGCTAGAAACATCGATGAGAAACATTGACCAGCTGCCTCTTGCACACCCCCCACTGGGTGCCTATAACCAATGTACATGCCCTTGACCGGAATCGAATTTGGGATCTTTCAGTCCGCAGACCGACACTCTATTCACTGAGCCAAATTGGTTTCAGCAGGATTTATTTTTTTAAATTAAGGCCAATTAATATATATATATATTGATTTCAGAGAGGAAGGGAGAGGGAGAGAGATAGAAACATCAATGAGAGGAATCATTGACTGGCTGCCTCCTGCACACCCCTATTGGGATAGAGCCCGAAACCTGGGCATGCATCCTTGGCTGGAATCAAACCTGGGACCCTTCAGTCCACAGGCTGATGCTTTATCCACTGAGCCAAACCGGCTAGGGATGAGTCAGTATATTTAAAGACTGGCATATAATAAGCACTGTTTGTGCGACAAGCCACAGGTCAGCACCGCTCCACTGACACACATTATCAGAGGGCTTCTTTCTGAGAAAACTCCATCCGGCCAGTTGGAGTCTTAAAGGTAAGGGTGTGAGCAGGAGTCTCCTGACTTTCCCAAAGGCCCAGGGAGGCTCCTCAGATGCGGCCAGGCTGATGCTAGAGCAGAGCGAGCCTCACTTCGGCTCTAATTTAAATCCTGGCCAACGTGGCTCAGTGGCTGAGCATCGACCTATGAACCAGGATGGTTTGATCCCTGTTCAGGGCACATGCCCAGGGTTGCAGGCTCCATCCCCAGTGTGGGGTGTGCAGAAGGCAGCAGATCAATGATTCTCTCTCTCCCTTCCCCTTCCTCTCTGAAATCAATAAAAACATTAAAAAATAAATCCTCCCTGGGAACGGCAGTGCAGAGGCCAGGGGTCCTGATGTGGATGGAGCACGGGCAGTGTCTCCTTCTTCTCTCCTCCTCTCTCTGGGCGGCAGGGTACCAAACTGTATCTTTCATTTCTTAGTGGGTTTTCCAAAAGGTTGTGCACACTTAGCAGATGATTACTGCATTTACTATGTATAGCACCAACTAGCACCCCAGAACATCTAAATGCCTTTCCTTCTTTCCAGAATCTCCTGCCTCCTCCTGCTGAGGCAGCGGCGAGCAGGCTCCGGGGCCGGCTTACCTTTCAGCAGCCAGGTGGCCGTGGCGGCTGACACGGAGGCGCTTGCATTCCCGACCCCAATGCCCAGCAGGACGGCGTGGGTGGCCAGGGAGCCCGAGAGGCTGGAAGCAAAGGCCTGGAGGAGAGAGGGAGCGGGGAGGAGTGGGCTCGGGGGCAGAGGGGTAGGCGCTCTCCGCCGAGTGTGACCTGGGCTCAGCCCGCAGCCCGCGGAGGGGAGGGGGAGCGGGGTGCTGCCTCCCGGCCCGCCAGCGCCGCCCGCCGACCTGCACGGAGTCCCACAGCTGGTAGGGCAGGTAGTCGGGGCTGACGCTGTCGGGGAAGCCCTGCGGCAGGAACGCGGTCAGCAGGCGCGGGAGAGGGGGTGCGGCGGGCCCGGGCGCTCCCTCGGCGCCCCCCCACCAGCGCCGCCCCCAGGCCTCCCACCGCAGGCTCCCGTCGGCGGCGGCGCTGCAGCCCCGGGCCGCCTGGGACCCGAACCGCTCGGAGCACAGCGCGGCCCCAGCGCCTGCCAGGCCCGCCATCCCGGTCACGCCCCCGCCACGCGGGACGGACACGTGGGCGGAGCCTGCTCCCGGCTCGGGTACGGCGGCGGCGGAGGGACAATCTTCCTTCGCGCGGGGCCGTGGGCCTCCGCGGGGTCCCGGATGGGGCCGGCCACGTGACAATTCCTGCCGGACCTGCGGCCCCGCCTCCCACCGGACCGAGGAGCCCAGGACCGACCCGCATCCCTGTGACCCGCTACTTCCAGTCACCAGGAGAGAAAGCGCCCGGGGCCGTTGCATTCCAGACCTGCTGTGGCCACAGAATATTTTTTAAAGTAAAAATGTTGCTTTACTTTATTGCTTTTCAGAGAGATGAAGGGAGAGGGAGAAAGAGAGAGAAACCACCCGTGATCTCCTGGTTCATGGGTCCATGCTCAACCCCTGAGTCACACCTGCCAGGCAGAATTTTTAGTTTTTATTATTTAAAAATACCTTTTTTTTAAAATAGGTGTTTCTTTTTTTATTTTTTTAAAATATATTTTATTGGTTTTTCACAGAGAGGAAGAGAGCTAGAAACATCTACCAGCTGCCTCCTGCACACCCCGCACCAAGGATGTGCCCGCAACCAATGTACATGCCCTTGACGGAATCGAACCTGGGACCTTTCAGTCCGCAGACCAACGCTCTATCAATTGAGCCAAACCGCTTTCGGCTAAAAATATCTTTTTATTGAGAGGGAGGAGGGTGAGGGAGAAAGAGAAACATCCCTGTGGGAGCTGGAAATGCCTCCTGCACGCCCCCTACTGACCGAGCCCACAACCAGGGCGTGTGCCCTGACTGGTAATAGCACCTGCAACCTTTTGGTGCAAGGGACAATGCCCAACCAACTGAGCAGCACCAGCCAGGGCGGCCGCAGAGTTTCCCAGGGTGTGTGTCACTTCAGGCATCTCAGTGCCTAGGCCTCAGGTGCCATCTTTATTGTGAGGATAGGCGGCTACATTTTACGCCTATTGGGTCCCCAGTAACTAACACAGAGTAGGTGCTTCAAAGAGACTTATAAATGAAAGTGCACGGTGAGAAGCTGGACCAGATGATCCCTGAGGAGGTCCTGTTAAACTTCCCTTTTATAATATTTGTTTTTCTTCTGCGCTGCTCTAGCACTCCACTAGAAGTTCTTGGCCCTTCAGCTTCCCCAAGGATGGAAGAGTATTGCTTCTGGGCGGTCCCTAGGGACATCTGAGAAATGAGAAAATCAAAGGATTGCAGAATAGTGTCAGAAAAAAAGAAAAATAGGCAAAAATTCTTGTGTGTTTATTGGGGGAGAGTCTAGAGACAGTTTTTCTCTCCCAACTCATCTTTTTTCCCCTCTTTTCCCCTTCTCCCTTCTTTCTCCTTCCTATTCAGTGCAATGTACTGACTCCAACAAAGAAATGTGCCAAAAGCACCCTCTTGTTATCAGAAAAGTACCCTGATTCCTTAGCCTGGTGTGGGGATTCAACAGGCATCACCCAAAGATGAGCTTGTGTGGAATATGGATTGTTTTGAACTAAAGGCAATTTTAGCTTCAGGCTCAAGAGAACCTTCTGCCCTCCCTTAACTCCCTAGATCTTGAATTGGGGGCCTTGTCCACAATAAGAGGTTATTAGCAATAACATTTTGTGCCCTAATTATATGGCAGGGAAAACTTTTACTTAGTAAACATCTGCTCTTCTTGTCATCCTGCAATGACCCTTTGAAGCCCCAAGGAACCTACCCTCATCCCTAGCTCAGAATGTCTTATATGCCTAGATTCCTCTTTCTATGTCTGAACCTCTTCTGCATGTTGGGAAGGGGCGTCTCTGAACCTCTCATGTATGCGGGGTTTCCATTCCTAACTATGTGTTAAATGTGGTTATTTCCCCTTGCTAACCTGTTTCATGTCTATTTGATGATTAGACCAGCCAGGAAACCTTGAGGGTAGAGGAGAGTTTGTTCTGCCCTCACGCTGGCCTTGGACACCCATCCCTCCCAGTTGGACTCCCTGCTTAAAACTTCTGATTCTCCCAAACCATCACCTCCCTCTGGGACCTCATCCTGGCCAGCCCTGCCACCCCCTCACCTTAACCAAACAGACTTTCTCTGAGGCCAGGTAGACCAGGGACTTCGTGTTTCCTTTTAAAAAATCTGAGTTGCTCCTTGGAGTGAAACATTGAAGGTTACACACCTGTAATGTTTTAAAAGTTGGCTTCTATGAGTGTACGGAACTCTGAGGCCACATAGGGTTGGGATGAGCATTGAATGAGTGTAAACGTAGGAACATCCAAACCTGTACAGAATTTTTATAAGAATTTATATCAGTGCTCACTTCAGCAGTACATATATTAAAAACAAAACAAAACCTAAAAAAAAAACCAAACTAAAAAAAAAATAACATTTGAGCTAAACAGAGGACACTCCTAGAAGAAGCTCTCAACAGACTGAGACAAATGCTCCCCAGTTTGCAGCTTCTTGTATACATTTGGAATTAAGGGGTGAACATCGTAAGGACACCCTCTGGAACCTCTTTTCAAGTGAATTTTCTTTCTTCTAAACTCGAAGGGACCCACAAGACTTGCAACCAGGGGAGCAGTGGGCAGCAGCAGCTTCTCCCTGACCAACCCTCAACCTGTGTCCAAGGCCCCTTTTCTCTGACTCCCCAACGAGCTGACAGCAGCCCAGCGAGTCTCTTTCCTGTTGCTTCTTCTGGCCTAAGTACGTCCTGTTTCACTGTCTTCCCGGCTTTAATAGCACACACTGGATCTGGTAGGTTTCTCAGTGATTAGAGCATTGAAGGGTCTCAGATTCAATTCCTGGTCAAGGGCATGGGTCTGGGTTTCAGGTTTCTTTCCCTGCCTTTCCCTTCCGGGTGTGTTCGGGTGTTCGGGAGGCAACCAATCAATGTGTCTGTGTCACACTAACCTTTCTCTCTCTCCTGTGAAAAGAAATGGAAAAAATATCCTCAGGTGAGGATTAATAAAATAATAAAATAAAATAAAACAAAATAAAAGTAAACATAGTCTCAAAGAAAAAAGGAGGGAACATAAGGAACATGCAGGTGGGAGAAAGCAAGGTGGGAACTGTATTATGGGATAAAAGAGTCTTCCCCAAAGGTGTGCAGACGCACAGAGAGAATGGACAGCGCTTGTGTTAGGGCGAAGGGGAACCTGTTGTATGCCTGAAGTTGAGAGGGGGAAGGGCAGTGGGAAGCAGGGAGCCACAGACATTTAATAATTCCTCACATTACTGCAGGTGAGAGGTTTTCTTACAGACCCTGGGAAGTGGGAGGATGAGGTGCAGGAGGAAAAGCAGTGCTGTAAAAAGACACCCATCGAAAAAGCAGACCATGGTGGTTTCCATGTCTTGGCTGGGATGAATACAAGGTGCATGTATTTTTTTTTTAAAGTACATTTTATTGATTTTTTTACAGAGAGGAAGGGAGAGAGATAGAGAGCTAGAAACGTCGATGAGAGAGAAACATCGACCAGCAGCCTCTTGCACACCCCCTACCGGGGATGTGCCCGCAACCAAGGTACATGCCCTTGGCCGGAATCAAACCTGGGACCTTTCAGTCCACAGACCGACACTCTATCACTGAGCCAAACCGGTTTCGGCAAGGTGCATGTATTTTTACAAATATGTGTTTTCTGACATCTGGGGTAGACACCCAGAAGAGGGATTGCTGCATCATAAAGTGGTTCTATTCTTAATGTTTGGGGACCCTCCTCACTGCTCTCCATAGTGGCTGTGCCAGCTGACATCCCCACCAGTAGTGTATGAGGGTTCTTTTTCTCTAATCCTCTCCAACATTGGCTATTTCTTGTCTTATTGATAATAGCCTCAATAGCTCCCCCCCCCCCCCCATTTCTTCTGTTTTTATGTAGTTCAACTAATTCCATTGGATTAATCTGCTCATTTTTATTTTGCAAATATGAGAAGGAGGGGCATTTATGAAGCAGTTCAACTCATAGTCATTTAGAAACGTGAGGTCAAGAACCTCTCAGTGTGAACTGGTACATCATTAGCCAACAGGCAGAGCTGTATTACTTTCAGTAGATAAAATAATCATTTACAATCCTCCAATTAAGAGTTGTTATCTGAAATTTCCCAAAAAGGAATATGAAACTACACAAAGAAAAATTACCTTTGTTATTTTGAAGTTGTAAACATTATACATTAAATAAGCAACACTATCAGGCCACAGAGTTATCTCCTTTAAAGAGAGCATGGTGTATGTATTCTCAAAATGAGACTAAACAAACAGTCACTGTTTTCAAACTTTCCCCCCCCCCCCTGATTATAAGAATAATAGGTATTCACTATAGAAAAAACTTTAGGTAGAAAAGGATAAAAATGAACATGAAAATCACCCATTTTCCATACACGTACACTATTAGCACTTTATTATAGTTCTTTCAAAAATTTCCCAGGTATACTTGTTATATAATGTAAGATTAAAATCTTATATATAGTTTTTATATGGATTTTCTAATATTAAAACTCTTCAAAAAATTTTAGACATAGAAGTTTTGGTTAAAACGATACATGTTGAGTATGACATTTTGAGAGGGGGAAAAAAAAAAAAAAACAGAAAAAAGAGGGAAAAATAAGAATCTTCCATATGCCATCATCTAGAGCAGAGAGTGGTTCTCAACCTTTCTAATGCCGCGACCCTTTAGTGCAGTTCCTCATGTTGTGGTGACCCCCAACCATAATTATTTTCGTTGCTACTTCATAACTGTAATGTTGCTATTGTTATGAATCATAATGTAAATACCTGTGTTTTCCAATGGTCTCAGGCTCTAGCAGCGGTTCTCAACCTGTGGGTCGCCTAAGACCATCGGAAAACAGATATTTACATTACGATTCATTAATAGTAGCAACATTACAGTTATGAAGTAGCAACGGAAATAATTTTATGGTTGGAGGCACCACAGCATGAGAAGCTGCGTTAAAGGGTTGCGGCATTAGGAAGGTGAGAACCACTGATCAGAGGTAAACGCCAACGCTGTGGTCCTATAAATGAAATCTAGAAGTATTCAAACTATTCCAGCTTCAAGTCCTATGATAGAATCTGTACATCATATTTTTTTTAAAGTGCAATTTAAAAAATATATATTGATTATTTTACAGAGAGGAAGGGAAAGAGAGAGCTAGAAACATCGATGAGAGAGAAACATTGACCAGCTACCGGGGGTGTGCCCGCAACCAAGGTACATGCCCTTGACCGGAATTGAACCCGGGACCTTTCAGTCCACAAACCGACGCTCTACCACTGAGCCAAACCGGTTTCAGCATGTACATCATCGTTTGAGGACTCTTTCATTCCTCCCGTGAACAAAGCTGCAGGAAAGGACATCTGTCAGCCAGAACCAGCTGATGAACTTGAAAAGTTTCCTTCTCAGCTTGTAGCTGTGCATCACAGAAATGCTGTCCCTCGTTCCTCATGTTATTGATCGGGGCCAAGATGATTTGGGCATGTCTAGCTGATGAAAAAAGACTCTCCCCAGACTTGGGACAGCCCTCATTAGCCATGATGATGATAAATTAATTAAGGGGACTTTTCCCCATAACCTCTGCTTCCCCTTCCGGTCAGAGCCACTATTTTCACTGGCTTTTCTTCACACTTGGAAATAAAACAAACTTTTTGTTGTGGCCCACAAAGCTCTATGGATGGGCCCTGCCCTCCTCTCAGACTTTGCATCTCATCCCCTCCCTCCCCCACTAGGACGTAAGCTCCAGGGGGCAGGCGTGTGTGCGTGGAGTTGATAGGGGGAAGGGCACTGTCTTTGGCAGTGGTATAGTCCCAGTGCCTTGTACCAGTGCCCTGCACAAAGGCAGGTGCCCAATACTATTTGTGGAATGACTACATTTATTTTCCCAATAGTTTTTGTAATTTGTTTTATTCCTCCTTTACAGACAAAACTGAGGCTTACATATATGAAGTGACTTCAAAGTTACAGAACTGAAAATGGCAAAGCATTCATTCATTTATTCATTGAACCAAGATTTCGTGAGCAGCTGCTACTCTTTTAGGCACTGAGGCATGATTTAAATCTGAGGCTAATGATTTTAGAACCACACTATTTTTTTAAAAAAAAATTACAAATAATTATAGGGTACATTCATGCTGTAAAATAATTCAAACAACAATATAAAGGGTTAAGGTCAAGTTCACCCTGACATTTATCCCTCTTCACATTTCCCAACAAATGCCCACCAATCCCCAGAAGTAAATATTGTTTACCATTCTACACACACACACACACAACACACACACACATGGGTTGGGGGAGGGGCAGAGAGAGAATGAGAGAGAAGGGGAGAGAGGAAGGGAAGGGGAAAAGAGAAAGAGAGAGTTTTACATTGAATCCCACTCTCACTTCCATACATTCGGCCTGGGACAGCCTGCTCTATTTATAGCTCAGTTAACATTGCCTTAGAGAGCTTTACATATCAGCACATGCTTATCTACCTCATGTATTATAATATCTGTATGCCATGCCTTAGTATGAATGTGCCATAATTTCTTTAGATTCCTCATAGTCAAGGACCTTCAGTTTGAATCTGTCTCTTGATGATCACAAGTGGCAAATTCCTTTACTGGTAAATTCCTTGTACAGGCCTTTATTTGTAAATTGAATATGAACATTTCTTTAAAATAGAGGCCAAAGCAGAATCATTGAGTTGAAAGGTGTGCATATTTTAATTTGAACAAGTGTTGTCAAATTATTCCTTTAAAAAGCTTGGTCAGGTTGTATTGCAGCTGTTTCTCCTAGAGGAAACAATGGGTTGTACCCTAGATAAATGAAAACATATTGGCCCAAAAACCGGTGCGCAGCCATAACCAGTTTGGCTCACGGGATAGAGCATCGGTCTGTGGACTGAAAGGTCCCAGGTTTGATTCCGGTCAAGGGCATGTACATTAGTTGCGGGCACATCCCCGGTTGGGGCTGTGCAGGAGGCAGCTGGTCGATGTTTCTCTCTCATCGATGTTTCTAGCTCTCTATACCTCTCCCTTTCTCTCTGAAAAATCAATAAAATATATTTAAAAAATGATATATTTTAAAAAAAAAACAACAAAAACCTGGTGCACAGCTGCAGCCGCACTCATGCTTGCCCCAAGCTGCACACTGTCTAGCTGTCAGTGGGCGGACAGGAACTGCATGTGTCCAGGCAACACACACTCCGCTGTGGAAAGGAACAACTTTCTGCTACTTACAACAACTTGGATGACTCTTAAAGGCATTATTCTGAGAGAAGGAAGCCAGTCTTAAAGATTACAGACTATGCAATTCTGTTATACGGCATCCTGAAAAACACAGAGCTGCCTGGTGGGGAAAAGATCCATGCTTGGCAGGCTGTAGTGGTGGGACTGGAGGTGGCGACAGAGGGGCAGCATGAAGGAGTGTTTGGGGGTGAAGGAAATATTCTGTGTACTGATTGTGGCAGTAGTCACATAAATCTATGTATTCAAATTCATAAATTGCACACCAAAAAGAGGTCAATTTTGCTGAATGTTAAGAAAATGCTATAATCCTAGCTGGCTTGGCTCAGTGGGTAGAGCATCAGCCTGCCGACTCAAGGGTCCCAGGTTTGATTCCGGCCAAGGACACATGCCTGGGTTGCAGGCTCAATCCCCAGGAGGGGTTTTGCAGGAGGCAGCCGATCAATGATTTCCTCTCATCATTGATGTTTCTATTTCTCTCTCTCCTTCTCCCTTCCTCTCTGAAATCAATAAAGAAATATATTTTTTTTAAAAAAAAAGAAAAGAAAAAAAATGCTATAAACAAAAAAGAAAATGGACAAATGTCCATGAGAGAATAGGTACCTAGGAAGTATGCATGCCGGGTTTGGAATGCAGAAAGATGTCACAGGAAACACCTCATCTTTAATACTGGCTACTGTGTAGAGGGAGGGAGCAAAAATAATCCCCTCTTTCAGGGTACATTCTGGTACATTCTACTTAATCTCAAGTAGAAGGTGGTGGTTTGAAATTTGAAGACGGGCTAGTAAACATGGAAAACATTAAGAAAGACGAAAAGAGTATTTCTACTTTGAGTACTGAGTGACATGTCAGAGAACAGGACGGCTGTGTCTCCCTCTTACAGAGCACAGCCGGGTGGAGTCAGTCCCCACCTCTTACCTGGGGCTCCCCTGCCGATTGTGACATTACTGGCACCTGCCTACCTGAGGACAGACCTTTCACAGGTGCTTGGAACAGTGCCTGGCATCAGGGAGAAATACAACGGAAGCTGCTGCTCACGTGTCATCCATGGATCAGGAGAAAACGGCATCACATTGCTGCGATGACTGGAAAGGCCCGCTCTGACCCAGGGTGCAGGCCGATGATGTGAGGTTGTTAGCATCGGGAGCCTGGACACTGGGATTGGGCGGAGGGCAAGGCCCAGGCCCTGGCTGGGTGCCCTGGGTCCCCCTTATCTGTGTCTGAGGCCTTGCTATCTTCCCAACCTCAGGGGAGCCTCACCCTCCTTCCCCTCCCTGGCCGACCTATCACCCTCCCTCAGGTCTGGATGCAGGGCGTTCCCGGCTTAGGCGGACACCGGGCTGCTGGCCGGCACCTAGCGTGGGACACACGTAGCCTGAACGTGTGGGTGGCACACAGCAGCACGCCTGGGCCTCACGGGAGCCAGCCTGGGAGAAGGTGGCTTCAGAGCAGGGCAGGATTTGCAAGGTGCCGGAGGGGAGGCGGCCCTGCAGGGCACCTTGGGGGATCTCTAAGAGAAGCAAGAGTCTTGGGGGCAATGCCCAGGGAGGAGGGAAAAGGATACTTACAATTTCCTTCCCTCAACAGGCAGATGGCGCTTCTTCCGGCCAACAAAGACCTCATTTCCACAGGAATGAAGGAATTCAATGCTCTGCTGAATCAGCAGGTAAGTGAGCCCAAGTGTTGTCTCAAAGGACAGGTCTGGTGTGTTGAGGGGTTGGGGAGGGCAGGGAAGGGAGAATGATTTGGAGCTGGGAGGGTTGAGGCGGAGTTGATGGAAACAACCAGAGACAGGGAATGCAAATCCGAGAAGAGAGGATGTCAGAGTTTGTGGGTTGTTCCTGACTCACATTGCTGACCCCCTCTCCCCCCCCCCCCCCAGGTCTTCACTGACCCTCCGGTCTCCGAGGAAGCCATGGTGACCATAGTGAACGACTGGGTGAACTTCTATGTCAACTACTACCGGCAGCAGATGACCGGAGAGCAGCAGGAGCAGGACCAGGCCCTGGAGGCGCTCCGGCAGGAGCTGAACACTCTGTCCGCCCCTTTCCTGGCCAAATACAGGGACTTCCTGAAGTCCTTGTGAGCACCCGCGTCACCCACCGCCTCTGTCCTAGCCCAGAGGCCAGCCTGCGGCGCCAGGAAACCCTGTTCCTGCCTGCTCCGCGGTCCTCAGGCCTGCTCCTTCTGGCTGTCCCTCTACCTGGACACCCCAATAAAGACACTGGCTTTGCTGGTCTCCCCGGCTCTCCTGTGGTTTGTCCTTGCCTTGTGCAAACAGCTGGTCTCTTTTCCTTCAGTCCTGCTTCCTAGATGGGATCTTGGAGATTTAACAAAGTCCCCGCTGGCAAGTACTAAAATGGCCTGGAGACAGACACGAAAGACAAAGTGCTGGGGGAAGGTGGTTGAAAAAAGAGGGAGACAGAAATTTCGGGAAATGGGGGCCCTGAGACGTGCTTGCCTGGAAGACAGCCGCTGAAGGCCTCCCTGTCTTGTTCATCCGGTGCTGGGTGGAGCCAGGCCCGAGTCCTCCCGGAGCTCGTCCATCCTCCTGCCCTTCATCCCAGCTCCAGCCAAGTTCTAGGATCGCCCGCCCTAAGGACCACACAGCCCCTCCCTGGAGCCCTGCTGTCACTCAGAGTTGGAAGGAGTCTGGGGGAGTGTTTGATACGCCCTTGCTTTTCAGAGGGAAAACCTTTGGCTCCATCCTTCCTCAGCCCGGAGCCCGGGATTGGAGCAGATATTCCTGCCCCCTTCCCTGCAGCCCAACCATCCCGGTCATTCCCCGGACGAGTCACCCTTTCTCTTTGACCCCAGGCGTTCAGCTTTTTTATTTAGGGCTCTGGGGTGGAGCCGGGGCCAGCCCAGGCTCCCGGGTTTAAAACACGTAACAAAGCTGCCAAAGCGAGGAGGGACGGGCTGCTGTGCAAGGTCTTAGGAAAGCCGCGCGGCGCGGGGTTGGCGCCGGGCGGGACTGGGACAGGGATGGGGACGGGGACGGGGACGGGGACGGGGATGAGATGGGGATGGGGCTGGGGATGGGATGGGGATGGGATGGGGACGGGGACGGGGTAGGCGCCGGGCGGGACTGGGACAGGGATGGGGACGGGGACGGGGACGGGGATGAGATGGGGATAGGGCTGGGGATGGGATGGGGATGGGATGGGGACGGGGACGGGGACGGGGACGGGGACGGGGAGGGGGACGGGGACGGGGATGAGATGGGGATGGGGCTGGGGCTGGGGATGGGATGGGGATGGGATGGGGACGGGGACGGGGTAAGCGCCGGGCGGGACGGGGACGGGGATGGGGATGGGGGTGGAGCCAGGCTGGCGGGAGGGGCGGGCCCAGGCGGCGGGACGCACCAATCAGATGCAGGGCGTGCTGTCTCCGGAGCGGGAGAGGTCTGTTCTCATCCCCACTAACTGCAAGCCTTCCTTTCGGCTCTGTGCCCTCCCACCTCTGACTCTTGGCTTTTGGATCTCTGTAGCCTGGTTCAGGGTCCAAAGGGAACTAGCTCAGCGCTAGTCCCCCAAACCATCCTTTCAATCTTGGGGTGTGAGGAGACCCCAGACCCGGCAGAGAACAGCTGCCTTCCAGGGAAGCAGGAAGCGAGCTCCTATGAAGCGTGGTCTGGTGGGTGGCTTGGGAGGAGGCCAGGTGCCCCCTCCTCAGACCCGCTCCGCCCCCACCACCTCGCCCCCTATTGGTGATCACGGGCCTGTTTCAGTGGGTCAGTAGTCAATAACATCTTTGCAAAAAGGCCTGGACTACTGTGCATGGTGGAGTAGAGAGACCAAGGAACTACACTGAGTGGCCAGATTATTATGATCTCTGAACTCATAGCAATCTGGCCACTCGGTGTATATTCTGTATAATAAAAGGGTAATATGCAAATTTCTCCCTCCACCAAGAGTGCAACCATCAGGCAGGCCAGCCACCAACCTCCCATGTCCCCTCCCCCTGGCCAGGCTGGACCCCACCCATGCATGAATTCATACACACACACACACACACACACACACACACACACACACACTGAGTGGTCAGATTATTATGTGTTCAGAGATCATCATAATCTGGCCACTCAGTGTCTATGTAAAAAGTACTAGATTGTCCTGGCCGGTGGCTCAGGATTGAAGTGCCATCTCCTGCATCAAAAGATTACCTGTTGGGATCCCAGTCAGGGCACATGCCCAGGTTGCAGGTTCCATCCCCAGTAGAGGGTGTGCAGGAGGCAGTGGATTGATGCTTCTCACATCTATTTCTCTCCACCTCCACCTCCACCTCCATCTCCATCTCTCTGCCCTTTTTTTCTCTATTTCAAGCCACCATTTAATCAAGACACAGCTTGTTACAGAGGCTGGTCCAGCACGTTCTTCAATGGGGAGGGCCAGGTGCCTCTGAAAGCAGCACAGAGCCTGTCTCGTCAGCTGACGATGGATTTGGGCTCTGCTCTGCCACCTGCAGATTCAAACTCTACAATCAGGCGGCCAGTGCAGTCTGCCTTCCACGCTGAGGGGCAATTATAGTTAGACTATAAAACACACACACACACACACACACACACACACACACACGTCCACAATCGGCAAGACGGAGCCTGCTCTGCTCTGTGTTCTCTGTTCAGGGGCAGGAGTTCAGCCAACGGGAAGCTGCACCCCTGCCTGCCACGGAGCGCTAACGGTACCAGCAGTGCTTGTGACCACATTCCATGCATTTTAAAGAAAACTTCCAGGGTTATATGAAGACGGTAACTCACGGTAATGCCTTATAGTGAGAGTAATAAAGGATAAGTGTGGGCAGTCAGGTGTTTGAATCTGATGATGTTGAGAAGCTTGTTTTTTCTGGGAGACGGGGAGGTGGTGGGCCCCTGTGGGACACGGCGAGGCAGTCCCTGCGTCCCGCCCTGCCACACCGCTGTAGCTTCTGTGTTCACTGTACAGACTCAAGCAAGGCTGCCAACTACCTTCTTGGGGTTAGCTTTTCATCGGGGCATTGGGCACCTCCTGGGTCTCTGCTGGGAGTGAGAAGGGGCAATGGAGCAAGCCCGGCAATTAGGGGGCTCCGTGGCAGGCCCGACATTAAACATTGATTATACACTTGAACTGGGAAGGTCATGGTGGGTAGTAACACCCAGACCTATGGCATCCTTTGTAAAAGGTTAATCTTTGCCTCAAGTAAGCCCTGCCCATTGTTCTTATTAACACACCTGGAACATGAGCAGAAACCCTCATGAGCCAAAATTCATTTTATCTTGTTGTGCATACACCAGCTCTGTTTACTGTAAATGTCAAATGTAGCCATCCTGCATCTACCAATGCAAATAAGCATGTCCCTTAATTTTGCTTTTAATCCAGTCCCTGAGACCTCCCTGCTTTGCTTTCTCCTGCTTTGTTAACCGCCACGAGGAAGTAAGCTGAGAGAGGCTGCATGGCTGGGCCCTGGTCACACAGCTGGTCCTCAGAGCCCCGGGAGCTCCTGATGCCCGTCAGCCAAGCCTTCAGCGGGTGCTGGAGAGGGTGGGGAAACCCAGACACTGAAGAGAGGGTGGGCTGCATGGGTGGGGATTCCAGGCCCAGTTTTCTGAGCTCGGCACGCCTTGGGACAGGACCTACTGGAACAGAGGCAGGCGCTGGGGCCAGAGTGGGCCACCAGGGGGCAGCAAGGACGGAGGAGCTGGCCTCCCCCCACGCGGCCTCTCTCCGCTGGCCAGTTGCCTGTGATGTGGTGGGAAAGGTGGGGTTTTGGGGAAGCCTGGCGCCCTCCTGCAGGGCCTCAGGCAGGTTCATCACAAGAGCACTGGCACCGCCTGGCCTTCCTAACGTGACATCTGTCCTCACCCACCACGGCGGCTGCAGGTGCTTCTCTTATCTGTGCTTGATGGGGACCAAACGGAGGCCCAGAGAGGGCAAGCGCCTTGCCCGTGGTCACACAGCTCCCCTGGCAAAGGCAGGGTCAGACAGAGGCAGGATGAGGCAGAGCCTCGCTTCTCTGAGTCTCCGTGTTTGTTCTCCCCTGAAAAAGGGGTGTAAGACTATGGGAGAGGGTGGTCAGGAGTCAGGGTGCATCATGGGCAAGTCCCACCTGTGGTCTCCGGGTCTCCGCTGCTGTGAGGAGTCAGTGAGGGAGTTGCTGTGTTTTTTATTTTTATTGACTTTTTACAGAGAGGAAGGGAGAGGGATAGAGAGCTTGTTGAAGCATTGATGAGAAAGAAACATCAATCAGCTGCCTCCTGCACACTCCCCACTGGGGATGTGCCCACAACCAAGGGACATGCCCTTGATCGGAATCGAGCCTGGGACCCTTGAGTCCACAGGCTGACGCTCTGTCCACTGAGCCAAACCGGTCAGGGCTGTTTTGTTTGTTTTTTGGTTAATCAACAGCTTTTACAAGAAGATCACGCATGGAGGCCATTCTACAGGACGCACACAGATGCGTCTTTAGAAACAGTCCTTTGTGACGCCCACACGTGCCGGTGCTGGGGCGGGGGATGGGGTTTCCGGTGGTTTTTCTTTCCTATTTATACCTTCAGGTTTTCTCTGAATCTGAGAAGGCGGCACTTGCTAATTTAGAATTAGAAAAAAAGCAATAGGTAGGTTTTATATTTTAAAAAGGAAACAAAACCAAAGTATGCCACCTCCCTGGAAAAATCTTTGTAAAATCGAGGCTGAGGGTGTGCAGAGTCGGGCCATGGGGACCCCGAAATCAAGGGCTGTGGAGGCCTCCGGAGGGCAGCTTAAGCCTCCGGGGCCCCCCCCACCCCGGGGCCGCCCCACCTCCCGTCCAGCCTCCGGGGGGCGCTGGGAACTCCGCAGCAGCACCCTCCACCCACCCCGCCGCCCGCTTCCAGCTCTGCTGGAGGGAGGGTGGGCAGGGGGGGCAGGAGCTGGGCACACCTGCCCCTCTGACCCCGCCCCCTTCCTCCCCCTGCGTCTCTCCGGGTCTGCACCCCCTCCAGGCGGAGAAAACTGAGTTGTACGTGGACTGAAATGACCTGCGCCCTGCTCTGTCCCACACGGACTCACCGCCACAGGGGGCTGTTTAATGTACCGGCTGGTCTGTAACGTCTAAACCCACGTCCTCAGTCCACAGCCTCATTCCAGTGCCCACTAGCCTGGCGTGGAGCGGCCTCCGGATGGGCCGTGAGCATCCCCCGTAAGGAATTCTGGGGGCAGCCCTGCCCCACACTCCGCTGTCTGGCTGTAAGACGCTGCCTAAGGTCGTGCACGCACCTGAGTTCTCTCTTCTTTTCTGATTTCCTTCCTGTAAGTTTAAAATAAAACTGTGATCCATGCTCGTAACTTGAGAAATGTATTTTTGGTTTAACCATTGCCTGTCAGGGAGTGCTATTCGAATGAAGGAGTGGATCCCAGGCCTGGTGTGGGCAGTCCGACCCAGGAGGGTGGGCATAAGCCATAGAGCGTGGGGGCCCGGAGGGGGAAGGAGGGGGGCAGAAGCTAGGACTCCCCTGTCAGGCTTAACCAAGGGCAGTGGCAGCGGAAGTGGGAGCCTGCAGAGACTCACAGGGAAGTTCAGAGGAGCCTGGAGCAGTGGCCAGGGCCGAGAAATCTGGATTTCTATGCTGTTTGTACCTTTAATTCTTGTCACCTGTGCCCCGGCCAGGCTGGAGGAAAGCCAAGACATGGCGAAGACGATTGTGTGGAGACTGTCCTCAGGAAAAGCCCCGACACGGTTTTTTTTTTATCCTTTCTGTTTACAAAGGAGAAAACGAAGGCACAGGCCGGATAAAGGGGACACAGAAAGCAGCGAAGGGTCTAGGGCTTTACGCCCCAACGAGCCTTGGGGAGTCCTGCCTAATTGGGAGGCCAGGGCTTGTGAGGCCAAAGACCAGAGCTTTTATTTTATTTTTTTAAAGTTTATTTTGTTGTTTAAAGTATTACACATAATAGTGCATATATCTCCTTTTCCCCCCCCAGTCTCCCCCACCCTCTGTCTCATGCCCCCCCCCCCCCCAGTGTCTTGTGTCCATTGGTTGTGCTTATATGCATGCATATAAGTCCTTTGGTTGACCTCTTTTCCCCCTCCCCAACACTCCCCAGCATTCCACTGTAATTTGAGTCTGTTTGTGCTTTACTGCCTCTGTATCTATCTTTTTGTTCACCAGGTTATAATGTTCTTTATTTTTCCATAAATGAGTGAGATCATGTGGTATTTTTCTTTCATTGTCTGACTTATTTCACTTAGCATAATGCTCTCCAGGTCCATCCATGCTGCTGCAAATGGTAGGAATTCCTTCTTTTTTATAGCAGCGTAGTATTCCATTGTGTAGATGTACCATAGTTTTCTAATCCACTCATTTGCTGCTGGGCAGATTTTAAGGGGATTTTAAAAAGTCTGTTGTCAAAGAAAATTCCAAGGAAGGCTCTGGCAGCAGCCACTCCTCTGTGCACATCCACTCATTGCTGGTGGGAGTGCTTTTATTCGTGTGTGAGAACACCAGCAGTGAGGATCTTAGCCAGCGCTGCTGTGGGGGGGGGGGGGGGAGCCTCAGTCCTCTGCAAGGTGAGAGGGAGCCCCATTGGAGGACATCCAGGGGCTCCGTGTCCTCTCATTGGCTCCTGCTTGTGGGCGAGTTATAATACATTTGGGGATTGGGAAGATGAAAGAGAGATGGGTGTCTATTGGGCCATGTTTCTCAGGGGGTGGGGCTAATGTTCATTTAGGCCAAATATAAATTAAATTCCACCCTCCATCCCCCACTGTGCCCACCTTCCTCCCCCGTGTCCCTGGCTCACTGCCATGGCTAGTCTTTCTGTGAACACACCTCCTTAGGCCTTCCTGTAGCTCCCCGTGTCCCAGACCGTTTTCTGCAGAGCACTGTCAACTGACGGTTGTTGGCACCAATTTAACAGCAACAGGAACCCCCGTGTGGGGTGTGGTGAAGGAGACATTATTCAGTGCAAACAGCTCCTTTACTATACACCTCGGCTGTGCAAACATGGTGCCCTGGAGCCAGGCCCCTGTCTGGCTGGATAGCTGTGCTCTGCTCCCTGCTGCGCTGGTCGGCTCTCCTTTGATCCAGCCTGCTCTGGCCTGTCCTGGTCTGCTCCTCTCCACTCCACTGAGGTACCTTCAGTGTCTCAGCTCAGCCAGGGAGACTCAGTCCTCAATGGGAAGGGAGAGTGCCTTCTCAGAGCTGGCTTGTCTGGACAGAAGTCCCTGCCCCTAGTGCCTGATTGTTCTGTCCTCATGCAAAATAGAACTCAAAGTTTGATTGGCCCAAAAAGGCACTGTCCTGATTGGTCAGGATAGAGCTGTGTGGAGCTGCCAGCTCCAATTGGGTGGGGAAATCCTCAGTCCTATTGGTTGAAATAGGATTCCAGGGCTCAGATGGCAGCAGCCTGGTGCAGGCAGGCAGTCCCCTGCAGGCTCTCCTTGAAGTTTACAGGAGAGATCCCTGTGTAGAAACTGCTGCTAGGTTCTGTTAGTTTTTAAATTTGAGCCCAGTTAGCCACCAGGAGCCCTTCTTAGTAGGTGTCTTTCTTAGGGTGCACAGCACCCATTGGTGTTTGCAATTTTTTCTTTTGTCTGTTCCATGTCTGTCTCCCCGACTGAATTATAAGCTCCAGGAGGGAAGCAGCTCCTCTCACTGTCTCCTCAGCACCCAGCACAGCACCCAGCACAGTAGGCGCTCAGTAAATATGGGTGGGTGTGGGCTTTCCCGCTACCTGCTTTCCTGCTCTGCTTCCTCCTAAGCTGCAGAAGGGGGCTGGGGAACCAAGAACAGTGGGCCTTTCTCCAGCTCCCAGGAGCTTGGGAGGTGGGTTACAGGCAGGGAAGAGACGGGGGTTCTCTCTCTAATTCCCCACCCCAGCCCCAAGCCCAGTTATTTCTGTCACATCAGCCTCAGCCCACCAGCTGGGTCTCCTTATAAAATCCTGAGGAGAGAACAGTGACTCCTGCCTCCATTCTGCTGCACCTCAACCCTACTGCCCCTCCACCACTCACACTAATGTATTTTCCCTGTTTGCTGCTTAATTTTTAAATTGGGTTTTCTGAGACCATGCTCAGACAAAGCAGATTAGAGCTGACATGTGGATGGGTGCCGTGCGGTACAGGAGAGGCACCCATGGGGCTGGAGCTCTGCAGGCAGGCCTGGCTCCAGGACTCCCTCGCTGTGGGACCCGAGGCCAGACCTCAGCCTCTCAGGGCTGCTTCCTCAGCTGTGAAACCAGGGTAACTGGACCTGCCTGCTAGAGCTGGCACAGGGGACATACAGCATCTAGCATAGTGCTTGGCGCTAAGTAGCTATTTTCATTTTTAATTCTTATGTTTTGTTATGACTCCTGAAGGCACAAAGTTCAGAGGCTAGTTCAGGCTCTGCCATTCACTGCTGACCTTAGCAAACCCCTTTTCCTCCCTGAAGCTGTGTCCCCACTTGTAAACTGGGTGTCTGGGGGTGGGAGGTAGGGGGACTCTGGCAGCTAAAGCGATAGTTTTGGGCTCAGTACAAAGGAGACACTTAAAAAAATAATAAAGGAGACACTTGGACAATCAGGCTGCATGTAAGGCAGCGCACTGTGTAGAACACCAGAGCAGGAATGAACCTCAAACGGCCAAGCCTCCTATTGAAAGTGTGACAGACACAGTCACAGACCTAGGAGCTTACACTCCCTGCCTGCCCGTCGGAGGCCCAGTCCCTCAGGCCACCCACCTGGGTGGGCAGAACCATCACCGGCAGAGCCTGGGTGACAGACACGTGGGGTCAGCTGTGGGCCTGCCAACGAGCTGTGAGCCTTGGCAAAGTGTGGAGCTGCTTCCAGTGCCCCCTGCCCATGGCCTCCACTGGTGGCAGAGGGGAGTGGGCAGACCAACACCCCTGCCCCCACCCCACTTTGCAGGGACATCTCTAGGCTTACATGGTGCATGGCTTTCCAAAGCTCTCGGCAGGATCAGGCAGCAGCTGCCCAGCTGGTGCTGTTTATAACACTCCCTCCTCTACTGCCTCCGCCCCTCCCTGCCTCCCTGCCCGCTCCCCACGCGGGGCTCCTGGGTCCCCTCCTGATCAGCTCATTGCACTTGAGTCCCTGTGTGGAGTCAATGAGTTAATAAAGATAAAGCATGCTTGTTCATAAATAAAAAAAGAAAGAACGTTTACTTCTATAAAACTCCACCCCCTCCCGTCCCAGCCTCCTCAGCACATACAAATATTAGGTTTAAACAATCTCTGAGAGGCGCGTGCGTGTGCGCGCGCAAATACACACACACACACACACACACACACACACACACACACACACACACACACGTTACTCAGCGGGAGGTCCGGGCGGGCGGGCAGGCGAAACGTGCCTGGTGTGGGCATCTGAATGGCCAGCTCAGCCGGTGCTCAGGGCGGAGCTCTCCCTCTGGTCTGTGGCTGCAGCCATGGTGTCTGCAGGGCACCGACTGGCCCCAAGGCAGCTGGGTGTGTTTATTCCTGGGATCCCACAAACTGTCACTGCATGGTAACGGCCGTTTTTCATGAGCTTCTGTTTCCCCTGCTTGACTGAGCGCCCTCCACTGCCTGATCCTGCTCCGCGTCGGCCTAACGGAGCCGTTGAATGATGGCACCTCTGGGCTCATCACCACGCTCCAAGCCCCGGGCTTCCCATCAGCCCCAAAGCCTCCGATGCGCTCCCCGTTGCTTGGTTAGTGTCTAGGCTCAGCGTCCAGTCCAGTGACGTGGCAGCAGCGAGGCCCGGGACCGGGCAAGACGTGGGCAACCGAGTGAGCGGTCGGACAAACAGGCCCTGGGCGGCGTGGCAGGGGCAGTGCGCTGGCGAAGGGTGGACCGATCAGAAGGCTGACAGCTCGCTCACAAGCCAAGGTGCCCGGAGGCCCCGGTCCCTGCAGGAGGCTCTGTGGGCCCCGCTCCAGCCTTCTCACCCGCGGCACCCGCTGAGCTCCTCAGTGTGAGAACAGGTCCGGCCTCCGTAGCCGGGGTCAGACATCCGCACTCACACGGCTTCTCTTGTCTCGGTCACGCCAGCCTGGCTGCCCTTGGGGTGGTGGGGGGCATTGTGCAGGCAGGGCTGAGGCACACACAGCAACGCGGGCGCACACTTAGGACACACTCATGTCTGTGGGCCCGTGGAGAGCATGGCCACCATCTGGGGGGTCTGGCTTGAGCCCTGAGTATTGCTGGGGCCAGGCTGGAAGAACAGGGGGACCTTGCCCTTCTCCGAGACACCCAGGGGTGCCAGGGAGGCCGGAGGGAGGCTGGCCTCCAGCAGAACCCCGCCCGGCAGGGGGCTCCCCAGGCGCTCAGGGCTGTCTCCACAGCGGCAGCCACAGCAGCGGGAGGCCTCGCCGTGGGCCTGGCCTGGCTCCTCCCGGCCGTGGCACTGCTTCAGGTGGCCACACAGGTGGCAGGTGAGGGCCGAGTAGACGATGCCGCTGCCCAGGTCGTCCCCGAGGGGGGCTGCGGCCTGCTCAGGGGTGAGCGGGTGCTTCTGGCTGTCCTTTCCCCGCGGTCCTGGCTCCAGACCTGGGCGCTCCGGGGAGACAGTGAGGGGGAGCGAGTTCTGAGGACCGGGCAGTGGCCCCATGTCCAGCCCAAAGGTGAACAGGGGGACAGGGGCAGGGACCTCAGGGCTGCCAGCAGTGAGGTCCTGGAAGGGCCTGTAGCCCCCCTCCCCGCTGCTGGCCTCACCCCCAGGGGTCCCTGGGCACTGGGCCCCGCTGGCCAGCAGGCTGGAGAAGGCCTTGTACCCAGCGTCTCTGGGGGGGCCGCCCGACTCGCCGCCCTGGGCGCCGCCCTGCCACACCGCTGGCGTGAACTGCCGGTAGCCGCCGGGGGCCGAGGGGGCGGCCGCCCGGTGCTGGAGGACGCTCTGCCGGAGGCCCTGCTCCCAGGTCTCCGGCTCAGGCTGGAGTGCGGCAGGCGGCCCGGAGGGCCGGGGGGCAGGGAGGACGCTGGGGTCCCTGTCTCCCTGGTCCTCGGCCAGCTGCGGGTCCGAGGGCGGGCGCAGCAAGCTGCCGAAGCTGCGGTACGCAGGGTTGTCGGCAATGACTATGGCAGGCAGCTCTGCCACAGCCAGGCGGGTGGGACTCTGTGTCCGAGGGGCTGGCGGGCGCTCTGGGGGCTGCTCCCCGCCCCGAAGGGGGGCCTCCTGAGGCTCCTCACCTGCCCCAGGCACCTGAGCACTCACACCTGCTGAGGGAGGGAGAAGGCAGGGCTCCCCCGAGCCTGGCGGGCAGGAGCCCCCCTCCGCGCCCCCGAGGAGGTCCAGGAGCAGGTGCTCCGTCATTCGGGCTGCGATGCCCGCCCTGCCCTCCTGGAAGCCGGCCCCGCTGCTCTCCGGCGAGGGGCAGAAGCTCCCTCCGTCTTCCTCCTCCTGCTCCTCCTCCTCACTCTCCACCGGGGCCTCCAGCAGCTCCACGCAGGTCACCACGCTGATGCTCTCCGGCCAGAGCACCACGCTGCTGACCTCCACGGGGCGCCAGGCTGGCTGTCCGGGGCCCTGGGCAGGCCCGCTCCCGGCTGCCTTGGAAGAACTGTCACCCCTCTCCACGCCGGGCTCCAGCAAGCAGGGCAGGATCTTCGTCAGACACGTCTTCCAGTATCTGAAGAAGCAGTTTGGTCAGGTCAGTGTCTCCACTTGAAAAACTCCTATTCATCCCTCAAAACCCAGCCTGAAACCACCCTGGACTGATGCCTACCTATTGCAGACGGGCCTCCTGGCTTTACAGCCACTGCCTCTCAGTCTGCCCCGCTCCTGCCCTGGGAGCCCCCAGAAGGAGGGCCCTGTCTGCCTTGGGGATGTCTGGAGCTCAGCCCGTAACCCAGACCCACTACCAGCTCAGACTGTTGAATGAATCCGTCTTCGGCAGGGATGATGGGATTTAAAACACATGAACACGCAGCACAGGGAGCGTCCACTGAGGACAGCTGCCGGGGGGAGGGCTCCCGAGTCCTGAAGGCCCCTCAGTGCCGGGTCTAACCTTCGGCTCCTGCACAGGGGGAGGCCCAGAGGCCTGGGGGAGGCGCTAAGGAGGCTAAGGTGCTGGTGGCATCCTCAGGGTTTAGGATAGTGGTGTTTGCTAACCAGCATGCAGTGATGTCAGCACTTTACAGCAGGCACCGCTGCCCGGGTACTTGACTCCACAGCCTTGCTTAGGCCAGAGTGCACCCCAAGAAGGCCCCGCACCTGCCCGACCCCCCCAGGGAAATTCAGGGGCCCAGCCAGCAGACGATGCCGCTGCCCAGGTCGTCCACTCCTCCCCCTCCCACCCTGCAAAGGAACAGTGCTGAACGCCAAGGAAAAGGCAGGCACGGAGGGCGAGGGACCCTGCTCTCAAGACGGGCCCACTGTGCCAATTCCACCCCTTCCAGATCCACACGGGCTGTGAGCCAAGCTCATATACGTACGGGCACTTGGCCGGCTCCTGGCCCCCAGGGCTCTTCCCCCACATCGGCACCTGGAACACAGAGACGCCGGTGAGCAGAGCGGAGAGGCCGCAGGGAGCTGTGGGAGGGCTGTGGGCCCTGCCTCACCTGCCGGAGGTCAGACCAGCCACTGCGGCTCCCAGAGCCTCAGCCCCTGGGACAGAGTGAGGCCGCCATGAAGCTAAGCTGCAGAGGCTGAAGGCAAAGTGGCCGCTGTCGCCTGCAGCTCCTCCACCCCGTGGGTCTGGCCCGGCCTGTGACTTGCTTGGGGCACAGAAAGGGGCACAAGTGGCACTGTGCCAGCGGGCCAGCCCGCGGGAGGAGGACACGGCTCAGTCACTCCAGGGCCCGGCGAGAGCCAGACCACCGCGGAGCTGTGCGCGAAGCTGCGGGGACGAGCCTGGCCAGGGAGCGCCCTGCCCGGCCCAGACCCCCCTCCGACCCACCGCTGAGCGACTGCAGAAGCAGGAGCTACAGATGGGGCTTGTTTCAACCAAGTTTAGGATCGTTTGCTGCACAGCAAAGCTGACTGACACGTGGACGAGGCTGGCTGTGTGCAGGGCCTGGTGACACACACTTCACAGGCACCATCTCGGTGAATTCCAACCGTTCCATAAACACCACACAACCCACCCAGAACACCGGGCTCGGGGAGGTTAGCCGCTCACTCAAACCCAGGCCGCTCTGCAGGTGAGCGGCAGAGCCTGGGCTCACAGTGAGCACCGACTCCACAGCCTGCTGGAGGGCGCCCGAGACCTGAGGACTGGCTCCCGCCCCCCTTCACAGAGAGCCCATGAGCTCAGGCAGACCACACGCGGCCACGCTCGGGCTGGCACCGGCTGGCCCCCTGGTATCCCTGCTCCTGGCAGGTGAAGGCTTAGGAACGAGCATGGGACGCAACCCAGGCCAGTGAGAAAGGAGGGCTTTGCTGGCACTTTGCGGCAGTTTCCCGCCCATAAGAGGAACACACAGGAGCCAAGTGCCCCCTCCCTGGCTTCCTGGCCTCCTGCCTGGGTGCAGGCACCTCCCCAGGAATGACAAGCAGGTGACCACAGGGGCCATCTCCTCCCAATGGAGGGACCCTGCCCAAGGCTGGAAAGTGGCTCTGAAAGCTGAGGCGGGGGAGGGGGTCAGCCTCTGGCCCCCGATGACCACACTGGGCTGCAGAAGCAGCCTGTGCTGGGGCCTTCCTGACGCTCAGGTGCACATCCAAAGCCCGTGAGCATCTAACGCCCAGACGCCGGAATGCTGGTTCCTGCCAGGAGCACCACAGCACCGGACCGGCCATGCCTACCTGGGCTTCCCGGATGACCCCCGCCACGAGGGGGCTGCGGGCCGGGCTGGGGATCCGGTCCCACCACTCTTTCTTGATCCTGGAAAAGAAAAGGGAAGCGCGTTGGTCTCTCCTTCCATAAAAATGACCACATCGCCAGTTCCTCCCGGGGGCCAGGACCGTGTGGGTTGGTTCTGGATGTCTCGTGGGACAGCGCCTCCTGCCAACCCCATTCACAGATGAGCAGACTGAGGCTCACGGGGCTGAAGGGACAGCTGGTGGCAGAGGAGCCGGTTGGTGCCCCAGCATTCTGCTCCGACTCGCCGCCTCTGTCCTCAGTGGGAACAAGCCCAGGGAAGCCGGAGGCACTCGGGCTGCAGAGAATTCGGGTGCTCCCATCAGCAGTCCCCCACGGAGCCGCTGGGAGCCAGGCCAGGGGAGGCCTGAGAGGCCGAGGAGACCCTGGGAGAAACAGGTCCCTTCCTGCCCCAGTCGGCCTGGAGCCATGGCGTGTCAGCTCTGAGGGAAGGTCCTCAGATGCCCTGGGTCAGCCTCCGCTGACTCCACTCAGTCAGTCACCACGCCGTGCTGAGCCCCTACTGTGTACACTCCCTGTGCCCGGCCTCGGACAGAACAGTGAAGCAGACAAAGACCCCGCCCTCACATAGCTGACTTCCGAGGAGACAGGCAGAAATAACCAATAACCACAGGACATTAATGACGGCACCCAGCGCCACGAGTGGAAATGGAGAAGATGAAGGAGTAGGGAGGAATGGGGGTGGTCCAGGAGGGCCCCCTGAGGAGGCGGCCTCTGAGTGGGACTGAGAGTGGAAGAGGAGGGAGCCAGGGCGATGCCCGGGAAAGGGCTTCCAGGCAGGGGCACGGCGAGTGAAAGGTTTGGAGGGACCTGGCTTGGTGCGTTCACAGAACAGCAAGAGGCTGGAGTGCTGGACAGTGAGCAGGTCTGGGAGGACAGGTGATGGGGAAACTGAGGCTCAGAGGAGGGAAAAGGCCAGCCCACGGTGGCTGGGAGGTGTCAGTGACAAGACACGGAGAGGAAAGCCTGCAACCCCTGCCCACTCACTGTGCGCCCAGTCAATCCTCGGCCGTCACTAATACTCACATGGCGAGGGAGGACTCGCTAGTCCCATTTCAGAGATGGGAGGACGGAGGCTCTGAGACACCATGTTTCCTGAAAACCAGGCTCCTTCTGCCCCCACCCCACTGTGATCCAAGACTCTCTCAGACTCTTAGGACGGACAGAACACGTTCCCGCTCTCTCAGCCCACAGAGGAGGGGCCAGTCACACAGCTGCCAGCGCCAGGGCCAGACCGAGCCCAGGTCTCCAGACTGTCAGAGCAATCGGCTAGAATTCCTCAGTCTGTGGTCACCTGCCCCCAACTGTCTGGACCGTATCCTGGGCAGATTCACCTCCCTCTCCCAAGGAAGGCCCTTCCCAGCTCAAATATCCTCCCTCCCCAGCCCCCCGCCCTGACCAACACACAGCGCTCGGGACATCTGGGCCTGTGCCCGGCTCATCTCCTTCCGCGCTGGGGCTGCGGGGGAAACGCCGGGCTCTCTGCAGGCCTGACATGGGGCTTTCAGCTGCTGCCTCAGAGCCTCGCCCACAGCAGCCGCTCCATAAACACTTATGGTTGAACAAGGACTGCAAACCGGCAGTTGAGAGGAGGGACTCCTGCCCACTCCCCGCCCCGGGGGACTGGCCCAGGACTCACTTGAGGATGCTGAAGTAGCAGGACAGGCAGACGGCCATGATGACGACGCAGGAGATGCCCACGGCCAGTGGGAGGCGCTGCTCCCAGGGCCCCTCGTAGTCTGGAAGGGGGACGGAAGCCGTGAGCCTCATCGCTGGGTACAGCCTGGTCTCCATTTCCCGGGCCGAGACGGGAGCCTCAGGACATTGGCTCCCAGATCCCGCACGATCGGCTACCCTGAGCCCTCCCGCCCCAGCCCCTGGGCCCTCCCTTGCATCCTGAGCCCTTGCCACACCAGCCCCCTTGCTGCCCCTGCTCCTCCATGCTCAGTGCCAGCTCAGGATCTTGAAATGCTGCTCTTTCCTGAAGCACAGAGGTCAAGGACAGTGACTCTGGCCCTGGACGGCCTGAGTTCAAAGCCTGGCTCTGCCGTACCCTCACTGGTGACCCAGGACCCTCTCGGTGCCTCGGTTTCCTCACCGGCACAATGGGGTTAACAACAGTGCTCATCTCACGGGTGCTGTGAGGGTCCCGCGACTTACCACCCACCGCACTCAGAACAGCGCCCGCACCCCATCGTTGCTATCCCCTTCGCATGGGCTCCTCTCCTCCCTCACTGCACCCTCACCAGCTCCCAAACTACCCCACGCTCTCTCTGCCATCACTCCGCCCCTTTCCCTGCTTTACTGCCTCCAGACCCACTGCGGCTGGGTCTGGGTTGATCTGATTTCCTCTTTTCTGGATGTTTATTTTCTGTTCCCCCTCCCCCGAGTGCAGGTTCCAGAAGGCAAGGATTTTTGTCTGTTTTGTTCACCACTGATTTCCCAGTGTCTAGCATGGGGCCATGCATAGTAGGAGCTCAATAAATAGATGTGGAAATATGAATGTGTCCAGCACACTGTACATGTTCCATGCAAGCCCTCCCCTCCCCTCCTTTCACCTCTCCTCCCTTTCGCAGGCCAATGTTAGAATCAAATCAATTCAACAAAACTTTCCCAAGGACTTCCTGTGTGCCTGGCCCCTTTCTGGGCACTGGGGACACAGGCACAGGTAGCTACTACCCACAGGGCTCACAGCCCAGATGGAGACAGAGGGGAAGAGACACTTTGAAGAATTCTTCTCTAAGTGAATGTTAACCACCCCTCTCCTCTCCACAGTGCAGACAATGCCTAAGGCAGCCTCCCTCCCCTATCTTTCCCTCTTCTTTGTCCAGTGGCAATGTGCCCACCCTGAGGTTCAGGCCAATCACCATGATCCTAGTCTCCTTCCCAGACATTTGAGTTCCCAGCATTCACTGCAGTTGAGAGAGGCCATGTGACAGTCCTGGCCAATGAGATGCAAGGGAAGGTCTGCTTGGGAAGCTCTGGGAAGATTTTTTGCTTCCTGTTAGTGACAGAACCTTTCATTCTCCTTGGCCCTTGGGGTCTGAGGCTGTGTACAGCAGCCAACTTGGGCCATGAGGTGGCAAATCTAAAGATAAAATACTGCCATGCTAAGGATGTCAGAGAAAAAGAAGGCAAGACTCTGGGGTGATATCATTGAGCTACTGCAGGAACCTGGAAATGTGAGATAATTCAACATTTCTATCACAAAAGCCAAGTGATAAAGTTGTAAAGAGTTATTTTGGGGGTGCTGCTTCAAGCGAAGGACTACATTTCCCAGAATCCCTCGCAGCTATGTGTGGCCAAGTGGCCAGTTTCACCAATAGAACTTGAGAGCGAGTGATGTGTCACTTCCAGGCTAAGGCTTTGAAGAAGCAGGTGTGGTCTCCCTGCTCTCCTTCCCCTTCTGCTGGCTGGCTGCAGACAATGGCAGGGCCCTTAGAGATCCTTCCCTTGGGGTCCACAGACCTCCACCGAGGTTGCAGGCAGAATTCAGAGGTCTGGGACTTGGATGGGGAAGAAATGACATCTTTATTTTCACTCACTTCTGACACCTCGCATTTCCTCCCACTAGGAATGGAGGGAGCATCAGCAGTCACTCAGCTGCCCACAGACATCACAGCTGCTCTCCGACCACATGCTGCTGCCAGATCACAAAGCGTTACTTATCTCATCAGCTTACCGGGGACAGTGTTTATGAGAACTGCCCTCGCTCCTGTTTCTCTGTTAACAGAGAAGCATATGTTCCCAGATCACAACCATATTTAAGATATTTTTTATAATTGCATAAGATTAATCCTAGTACTTTATTTATGCCTGTAGAAACATTGTTCTGAATGGGTCCTCAGGCCTCCCTCACTGCCAAAGGGCCCAGGACACACAGGTTGATTATCTCTGTCCTAGAGAGAGATGAGCACGGGAGGAAGACCACTCACAGGCCAGCACAGTCACACTGGACTGTCACACACACAGAAGCATGTTTCCACACGGGAAAGCTCGGACCCCATGGGCACCTGTCACTCAGCCCTCCCTGCCCGCCTGGGCCAGTGGCCATGCCAGCCGCTCTCTGTTACCTGCATGGAGATGTCCTCGGATGGAGACCCAGGTGCTCGGCCAGGGCAGTGTCTGGGCCCAGCGTGAAGGGGGGAGGACTAACCGCTCAGCACTGACCCGGATACTCACCGTGAATCCACTTGACTGGGGGGCTCCACTCACTCCACAGGCTGTTGTAGTTCGGGGCCCAGGCCCGCACCCGCGCGCTGTAGTGGGCCCCGGGCGTCAGGGCGCTGGCCTGGAAGCGGAGGGTAGGCTCCTTGTAGGTCACATTGTAGACTAGGAACTGGGGAGGAAAGGAAGACATCACTGCACAGCTGAGGCCGGGGTGCCAACCCCACTCGGGCTGCTGTCCTTGGCTGACCACATGGCGTGTAAGAGCCACCAGCCTGGTATCTGGTCATCCCGCCAGCCCAGGCAGTTTGGCACCTCCATGGCTGTGACCAGGCTTGAGTGAGGTGGGTCAGAATACCAGCCCACCCCACCCCACTGACCAGCCCGAGGACAGGACTGGGGCGAGTCGGAACCTTTCTGCGCTTTAGTTTCCTCATCTGTAAGTTGAGGGCAAGGGTCCCTACTGTCACTCTCGGGGGGTGTGACCTTAGGTGAGTGACGGCACCTCAATGTCCTCTCTGCAATGAGGGTAAAAGTGCCTGCCTCCAGGGTTGCCGTGAGGATTAAATGGGTTGAAGCAGGGAAGCACTTAGGACAGGGCCTGCCGCACAGGGAGCGTGATGATCTTCCCGAAGCGCAGACAGAAGCACATGCCCCTGGCTCCCTCATGAGCTCTCTGGAGCCTCACGTCCATGGCCCTGACCTCAGCCCCGACCACCCGGCCCAGGCACATGGCCCCGACCTCAGCCCCGTCCACCAGCCCCCACTGGGAAGACTTCCAGGACTGCAGCTGAGTGGACAAGGTAAGATGATAATTAGTAGATGTTGTCTGCTGCCTATTGCTTTAAAAAAAAAAATGGTGCCAGACAAACTGAGGGTCCAGGATGCCCCTTGTGTCTTGCCCTTGTACAGTCCTGCCCCTTGTTGTGGGCAGGACTCTGACTTGTTTCTCACCGACAGGAAGTACAAAAGCAATGGCGTCTGGGACCACACCTGAGGTGACATCATGTGAGACCATCATCCAGACTCCCCGGGCGCCCTCTCTCCCCGGGCTGGTGGGGGAAGGCCACGAGGGAGGAACAGGGGGTGGCCTCCTGCCTGGGCCCAACAGCCCCCGGCACACGGATGCGGCCAAACTCACAGGAGCCGGGAGCCATCCTTCCCTGCGAGCCTCAGGCGGCCCGTAGCCCTGGCCACGCTGGCCTTGACCAGTCAGCGTCGGGGAGACGATGCTGAGTGAGGGGGTCACGGTGGGACTCGGTCATTTGAGAGGGTCCCCGAAACCTCAGTGTCCCTCCGGCCCCTGGGACACACAGCTGCGCCCAGAGCCTCCCTTACAGGGAGGAGCAGGCCCACAAGTCAGGCCCCTTCTCCGCACACCTGGCGCCAGGTGAGGGGAGGAAGGGACAGAAGCCGGGACTGCAGGTCCCAGGCTGCAGTCAGCCGGGCTCCTGTCTCCCACCCTGGGGCGACGTCTCCGCTCCCGGAGTGCCAGCAAGGGGTGGTGAGAACCCCCACGTGCCCACTCACCTCCGTGGGGTCGTCTTCGTTTGAAATGTTGACCAGGTAGGAGAGCTGAGAGACCAGGAAAGTCTCAGGTGGGTACGGGTTGCTCCAGGTCAGCTGCCACATGTGGGAGTCGGTGGCGTTCACCGTGAGGTTTCCGGGGGCCCTGGGTTTCACTGGGGAGAAGCGGGGCCTGGTGAGGGCGTGTGGCCCTTGGAGCCCGCACCACTGAGGTTTTCAGTCAATACCACCTACATGTGTAGGCACCACGGAGGTTCACAGTCAAAGCAGTTCCAATCCTGGCACTCACTCTGGCGTTGCTCCCCCTCTCCCTGGAGCCACGGGGAACCCAGCACGTTGCTCCCCCTCTCTCTGGAGCCACAGGGAACCCAGCACGTTGCTCCCTCTCTCTCTGGAGCCATGGGGAACCCAGCACGTGTACACCAAATAACCCAGACTTTGGCGTGTGCACTTTCGTCCTTCACACTTTCAGCCACATCTGTGAGCTATATTATGTACCATTTATTTTTCTTTATTTTGATTCGTGTGTTTAGACTTAGTCTCTTTTTAAGCAATCGTATTAGTGAGATCACAAGTATACAATATGCACCAATGTCGTCATAGGCATGTGAGGATTACGTTAACTCAGGGTTTGTTCATGGGCCAGTTTACCACCAGCGGTGGGACTGGTGGAGCGGCGGAGGCTGCGAGACCCTGCCTCTGCTTCCCATACTGTGTGACCTTAGGCGGGTTACTTGCCTACTCTGCACTACAGTTTATTCAGTTGCAAAATGGGGATAGGAACTCTCTTTTGGAAACTGAGGATCAGAGAGGTGACTTGCCTAAGGTCACACAGCAATAAATGGTGTTTGAAACTCCTGTCATTACCCCCCAGCCAGCTCCTGGGGAATGCCCGTAGGGACTCCGGGCAGCAGGATAAGGTCAGCCTTCCATGGTCTAGACTAAGCATGTCAAACTCAAAGGCTAACACGGGCCAAATAAAGGAGGCATGCAGCCCGTGGGCTGCGAGTTTGACATGCTTAGTCCGGACTGTCTGAAGCAGCAGCAGCGGCTGAGCAGTCAAGAGAGGTGAGGACGGTTCCCAGCTCAGTTTCTGGTCTGCGGCAAGCACACCTTCCACCAAGCAGCCTGCTCAACACCCGGTCAGGGCGCTCACAGGCAGGGGGTTGAACTGTCTGAGCTGAAGGGGCCTGGTGCTGCTGAGCCCAACCCCATTTCAAAGACAGGAGGACTAAGGCCCAGGCAGGGCAAGAGCCCCATCGGGGTTAAGGAAAGGCTGCGTGGGCCCTCCCCCACCATGGAGCCTGCCTGGCCCACCCCAGGGCCGGGGCTTAGAGCACTCACTCTGCCTGCTCACCATGCTCGCCCCACCCGCCCCGCCCCGCCCCGCCCGCTCACCATGCTCGCTGGGCGTGAAGGAGCCACTCCACAGCCGCTGCTTCCCAGCCCACAGGCCCAGCTGGTAGACGTCCGCGCTGACTATGTGGTCCATCGGCATGTCGCACTGGCACGCGGCGCTTTCTCTGTTCGCAGGGACACACGTGTGGTTTCTGCGGACACACGGGCTGCGTTAGGTTGTCATGCATGTATGGGTGTCCCCCGGACACGCCTCAAGGAACCACATGCTCTGCTAGTTCCTGGTCTCCTGCCTCAGGACCAGGTCAGGGGACTGGGAGCAGAGCAGCCAGCCTGTGTGGTGAGCCAGGGGGCTAGGACTGCCGTCCCTGCTGCCACCACCTCGCCCACCACCCCCTGGCTGCAGCCTCGGTCCCAGGACTCGGCTCATTCCTGACGGCCAGTGAAAGGGAGAAACCATGGCACCGAAGGATCTGTAACAGCGTGTGTGTGTGTGTGTGTGTGTGTGTGCACGCTAGGCCTGTCCTCTCCCATGCAGGGCACTGTGGCACACGCCCTGCCACCACACGTCATCCTAATGTGCCGCCCCAAACAGCCAACCTGTGTCTCATCCGGAGGGCGGCACCCATTTTCCGTCAAGGGCCAGACTCCAAGAGCCAGGCCATTTCTGTCCCCATACACTGCACACCCTGCTGGCCAAGACAGAAGCAGCCACAGACAACACAGGAGCGAATGGGCGTGGCCACGTGCCAGCACTTGGTTTACAGCACGGGGGCCCCGTGTGGCTCAGGGCCAGCACCCCACCTCTGATCTAGGCCCGGGCACCGCCCTGGGGAGCACAGGCACCTACCTAGTGCATCGTGGGACACCACCTCTGTCCTGCACCCACATTCTGCTACGCCTTGGGGCCTGACTGCGTGCCTGTGTCCCCGATCGTGTCTGGGCACCCCGTGACAGCACCCCGTGTACACTGTTTGTCATGTACATAAATCACGGGAACATGCACCCCACGTTCCATGCTGAACTTCACACTGACTGCGCCCTAACAATGGTCATGCCCGGGTCAAACGACCGGCCGCTCTCTCTCACGCGTAGGAGTTCTCTAGCGATCACGTGGCGTGTCACGGTGTCGCCGCTCTGGTGGCTGCGTGCTGTTGCGATTTCAATGTCCTGGTTTCATTCCTAACGGCCCAGAGCGAGCGCTACAGGCTGCCTGCATGGGCGCTTTTGGGATCCTTGCTCATTCTCAGCTGGAGTCCTTAGGCTGAGGGCCTGAGACCTGCCTGGTCCGATATCCCTCCCCATCCACACACCGCAGGCCCGGTGTGTGCGCTCGGAGCGGCATGACACCCACCGCATCGCACACTGCGCCCCGGCCCCAGCTCTGACCCGGGCCCGGTAAGAACCGCAGGGAGCCGCACTCAGCACCCGGCACTCCAGGGCACCGCCGGGCCTGGCGAACTCAGGCCAAGCTCCCGGCCTCCCCTCGCCGCCCCCCCCCCCCCCCCCCCCCCCGCCCGGGCACAGGCTTACTCCTCGTTCAGGAAGACCAGCTGGTAGGTCAGGCGGAGCTCGGCGCTGCAGTCGGTGGGGCCGCCCATCCTCCACTCGCAGGTGGAGGTGCTGAGGTAGTCGGAGAAGCAGGTGGGCTGCTGCCGGAGCTGCACACCCCCTGGGGAGACAGACACAGGAGCCCTGAGCGGCCCAGCCCGACGAGCAAGAGGGCCGTGGCCACCGGGACAGGCCGGAAACAGCCCGAACAGGACCGGGGCCATCGCGAACACGGGCACCACCGCCCGGACCGCCGTGTGCGTCCTCACAGCTTCCCGCTGCCCTGAGGCGGCTCCGAGGCTGAAGAACATCCTGGGTGCAGGGCCCCCTGAGGGGGCACCCCGATGACCTTCGTGTGCTGCAGCTCACCTACCTGCCTTCGGCCAAATTACCGGGAAAATACGAGGCAGTGTGAGGACGGCCGCCAACAGGCACCTGCCCTGCAGCGGGAGGCGGTTATCCCTGTGCCGCTACCAACCCCCCCCCCCGCCCCCCCCTTCCCTCTGAGCTCAGGAGGCTGATCCCACCGTCTTGTCACCCAGTGCTCCTTGTTGGGTTTGGCCAATATCAAAGGGCGGGAGAGAAGGTGGGGTGCTCGTCCAGTCCAGCCTCTCAGTGGCCTGCTGAGAACCAGCAGGATGTCCCAGCTTGCTCCTCCCCGGCCTCCCGACTCCACCCTCATGCTTACAAAGGGTCCCTATCCGTGTAACAGGCCATGTACCTCCTCTGCTCACACCCTCAAAGCTTCCGGACTGGTCGCCTGCCACCCGGCCCCGCCCACTCCTCTGGCTCCGCCAGCCTCCAGGCAGGCTCTCGGCTCTGCCTCCACTGAGGTCCTCCCCAGACAGCTGCTGCTCCCCTCCTTCAGTCTCTGCTTCAGTGCCTGTCACTCCTGAGGACTTCCCTGAGCACGTGCTATAAATTGCAATCCTCCCCTTGACCCGGCTTCCCCAGTCCTCCCTGCCCTGCTCTGTATCGTCTTTTCCCACACCTTCTAACAACCCTGGGATTAATTTATAATCCAGGCCACCTGTCATCAGCTGTCTCATCCCACCACAGTGCAATATCAAGGCCGGGGATCTTAGCTTTGTTCCCTGATTGGGCCTGGCAGGTAGACAGTCAGTACATGTTTGCTGAAGGAATGAATGAATGAAGGAATGAATGAATGAATGAATGAGAGGGGTGACTTACCAGCGCCTGCCGCCCACACCAGGATCAGGCAGCTCACAGGGAGCATGAGCCCGGAGCCGAGCCGCCCCATGGGGAGGTCCTAGGGCCCCTGCGGAGAGACAGTGAGCGGTGAGGGCTGACCCGTGGTCCCCGCCACCCAGGCATCCCAGTGCAGCCTTCAGAGCTCGCCTCACTCAGACACAGCCGTCCCCACCCCGGCCACTGTGTCTCTGGCCACAGGGAGCCCTCCGTGTTCAGCAGAGACCTGTCCAATCACGAAACCCAACCCGGATGCACAAAGCCCTGAGCGAGAGCCAGCAACACCTGTCCCCGGAGGTGCTTCTTGGAAAAAGCCCAGGCCCGGCTGAGTGTGTGTATCCCTCGGACTTTCGGAAGTTCATACTGAATATTTGCATATAAAGGTTCTCATAAGTCCTGCAATAAGGAAACTTTTCCCCCCCCCCACTCAACACTTACCAAATTTATTTGCCCAACCCTCATTTTTGTGTGTGTGTGTGTGTGTGTCAACCCCCCAATTAACACCCTGAAGGACTTACAATTCCTTGAAGTAGTTTGGAAATTCTAACTTGACTGTCCAACCTTCCAGAGCTGGTTAAGTAAACGATGGCAGAGCCATGCAGTGACGTATTAGGCAGCCACTAAAAATGATGCTGTCTGACTACATGAATGCCTCAATTCTCCCCTCCCATGTCCACGTAACCTTGCAGTGGTCCTCCTTTCCCCTACCCCCACACCGCTCTGGGCAGGGCGTTCCCTGCATTTGGATCTGGGCTCGCCATGTGTCTAGTGTTGGCCAGCAGGATGCTAGCCAGAGTGCGGCGTGCACAGGCCTGCCCTGGCACAGCCGCTGCCTGGAGAGCGTGCCCGGCCTCGCCTGCTGGCGGACGGTGACGGCAGGTCCCGGCGGTCCCCTTCCGCACTGGCCAGGGGCGGCTGCCCGGGCCTGCGGTGAGCTCACCCTCCACGGGGCAGGCAGCTGGCCTTGCTAACCTCAGTGCATGAGCGAGCCCACGGGGTCAGGCCAGCCCAGAGGGCCGCACCCACACGCAGGAGCTAAGAGTCCCTCACACGCCCTGCGGCATGTGCGTGTTCCAGACAGGGTGGGGAGCATGGTGTCGGGAGCACAGGGTCGGGAACACAGTGTGGGGAGCACGATGTGGGGAGCACGGGATCGGGAGCACAGTGTCAAGAGCACAGTGTCAGGAGCACGGTGTCAGGAGCACGGTGTCAGGAGTATGGGGTCGGGAGTATGGGGTTGGGAGCACGGTGTGGGGAGCACGGTGTCGGGAGCATGGTGTCGGGAGCACGGTGTGGGGAGCACAGTGTCGGGAGCACAGTGTCAGGAGCATGGTGTCAGGAGCACAGTGTCGGGAGCACGGTGGGGGCTGAAGCCACAGCAGAAGCTCCAGCCCCTGCCCAATGCTCTCCAGGGGCTTCGTCCCACATGAAGGCTCTGCAGCAGCCGCCTCCCTCCCCAGCCCAGCAGCTGTGCCCCTGGCTCCTGCCACCTGCTCACCTCCACTTCCTGCTGCTCCTCCCACACACCCACTCACGCCCACCCCACCCTTCCCTCTCCATCCCTTTCATTCCTTTCCCTCCCTCGGCCTCTCTCTCTTATTCATTTACTCAGGAATAAACTCCCCCAATACTCCAGTGTGGGTTTCAGGGGAACAGGACATTCTCTGCACAGCCCTGGTGCAACCAGCAAAACCAGGAAATCACACGGACGCACGACGCAATCTAATCCGCTGACCCTGCTTCTGCTTTGCTAGCGCCCTCGTCCGCCCAGGACCCAGCCGGGCATCGAGTCACCATGAGCCCGGCGCCCAGGCCACGGCTTCTAAATCCTATTCTGCTTTGGCAGGCACCAGCCTGGACTGTGGCTGTGCCAGGAAGGAAGGAAGGGAGGGAGGAAAGGAGGGAAGGAGGAAGGAGGGAGGGAGGAAAGGAGGGAAGATGGAAGGAAGTGCTCAGGAACACTGGGGACATGTAAAGGACAGGAGTCAGCTCGAACGGTGCCCCCTGGCCCACATGGGCACAACTGGCCCACAACAGACATTGCAGAAACCACGGTAACCGGGAGTCGGAGCAGGGATGCAGGAGGCTGCAGGGCCAGGTCACAGCGGGAGCAGGGACAGCTCTCGTCGCCACGGCAGCCTCTAGCTCCCACCAACCTCGTGTTAGTGATTTGCTAATGAATGAGTCAGAATAGCTAACATTATAATTTTATATAACTTATATCTATAATTGTGCATAATTTACGTACAGAGCCTGGAAGACACCGCCTTCCCCACGTGGTCAGAGTGAGCAGGGATGGGACGAGCCAGGCCACGCGTCCTGAAGCCCGGACCGGAGGAAAGGCCGTGCTCTCCGTGCTCCTGCTCAAAGGCACAGTCCTGCTGAGGTCACGCCGACCGCGCTGAGGGCGGCCTGGGGAGGACTCGGCCTGCGCCCCCGGGCAACGGGCAAGGGGCGTGTGCGAGACTGTTCTCTCCAGCGTGTGCCGTCCACCACGCCGGGTCCCGGGGCCGGCTCGGTGTCGGGCACACAGCATGTGCTCGTCAAGTCACTTTGGAGAGACAGGCGCCCCACGGGCTCCGCAGGGGGCAGGAGAGCCGTTCCTCGCAGAGTCCCAGCGGAGACCAGGAAGCAGGGAGGGCGTGCGGTGGTGGGTCTGTGAGGCCGCTTCCTCTGCAAAGCCCCATAACTTTCCCTCTCGCAGGCTCACAGCCGCCACAGCGTCCTGCGGCGGAGACGCCCGTGTCCCTCCAGCCCCGCCTTCGAGTAAAGAGAAACAGGGAGGCTGAGGGGCCTGGCCAAGGTCACACAGCGGAAGGGCCATCGTGGGCAAGTCCTCCAGGAGGATGGACTAACACAGCACACTGACGGCATCAGGTGTCACCTCCGATCCCACTGCAGGGCACGCCTAGATGTGTGTGTGTGTGTGTGTGTGCGCGCATACACGTACACACATGCACACACATGCGCCCACATGCACACGCACACACACACACACACACACACACGCGGCACTCACCAGCAGGCATCACCGGATGTCAGGGAAACCATGGCAGAGGTGCAGGTAAATAAGGAATTAAAACAGTCACTGCCAAGTGATCCCAGTCAAGCAGGTGGCAAGAGGAAACAGTTTCCAGCTGGCACCCTCAGTCAGGGCCCCTGACCGGTGGGAGTTGGGTGGAGTCTCAGGGGTGGCCTGCCTAGCTCACCTGCCAGCTGGACAGGGGAGCCCTGCAGACACCCCCTCTCCGACAGGCGGCAGGCCAGCGTCTGCTCACACACCTTCAGGGATGGGCACGAACTCCTGGCCACGGCTGCGCAGAGCCTGCCCGCTGGAAACAGCTGCCTTACGTGCGCCGAGGACCTGGGCCAAGGAAGTCCTCACATTTGCTTGGCACCTTGCTGAGCGCATAGAGACATTACCCCAGGGCAGTGGTGGGCAAACTCAGTCCACAGAGCCAGTGTCAACAGGACAACGAATGCAATTTCTTTGGAGAGTCACATTTTTAAACTTAAACTTCTTCTAACGCCACTTCTTCAAAATAGACTAGCCCAGGCCATGGCATTTTGTGGAACGGCCACTCTCAAAGAGCCGCATGTGGCTCTCGAGCTGCAGTTTGCCGGCCACGGCCCTATGGAATCTGTCCAGGACCCTGCTGGACAAGTTGTTGTCCCCACTTTCCACCCGAGGGAACCGAGGCCAGAGGTCAGATCAGGTCCCACGGCTAATGAGAGGGCAGAGCTGGAGCCAGCACTCAGGTCTGTTGGCTTCTGGGCCCAAGCCACCTTCCAATGTATCAACACCTTCAACTTCTCCTCCAGAAACACAGGCTGAGCCCAACAAGACGAGTGAGACGAGCCAGAAAGACCTGGCCATCCTGCTTGTCAATCTCAAACAGCGGTGCCCGCGCAGAGGACCAGAGAGGCTGACTGAGCAGCAGAAAAAGCCGAGGATTTGTATTGTCTACAAACCCCCATGAGCCAGAGGTGAAGCAGCAACTTAAACAAACAAACAAACAAACAAACAAACGCCAACTAAGGCCATGTTAACGGAGATATGAGATCCAGGACCAGGGAGGTGACGGTGGCCAGACGCCCCTGTGCTTCCCTCAGGAAGAAATGCTGCTGACTTGCAGCTTGAGAGGATGACAACGGGCACAGAGCGGGCAGGTCTGTGCCTAAGGCTCTGCCCTCCTAAACCCTGCAGCCTCACCATGCACTTAGCATATAATATTTACCACATCCCTTTATAACTCTATCATATTAATTCACTCAATCGTCAAAACAGCCCCCTTGAAGTAGGTGCTAATAGTCCCCGTTTTCAGAGGAGGAACGGAGGCCAGAGCGGTGTTAGGGACGGCCCTGCTGCGAGCAGGGTGCCTCAGCGCTCAGCCTCTCCTCTGTCCTTCATGTCCTGGGACCACAGGCCCGTCTGAACGTGGGTGCAAACTCCAATCCCTCTTTCTAGGCAAGCGCAGGCATTAACTTTGCATTCCACTTTAGGGGTCCACAGATCCCCTGAGCCCCTGCCCTGAACAGTGAGCAGACTTTGAGGGTCTTGGAACAGGGCTGTGGCAGGATTTTCCCAGCCCAGAGCGGGGCTGAGAGAACGGGACGGGGCCACGGGGCCGTCTGCAGTTGCTGCCGACCTGGGTCCCCCAGCCTTCTCCACGCCGCTGGCGCCCTGGGGCCTTCACTGGCCTCCGGCTCTGAAGGTGTATTCACCCCAAGCACTGCTCCCAGGGGTCATGGCCGCCTGGGAGGAGCATCCCCGACACGGAGCACAGTCCACGCCCAGGAGCGATGGCAGTGAAGGCGGCCCGTCGGAAGGGACCACATTTCAGTGTGTGACTCTCCTGGACGGCCGTACTGGAGAGGGAGAGCAGTTACTGCGGGGAGTGGGGGCGGGCAGGCAGGAGGGCGTGTGGCTATAAAAGGCAGCACAGGGAGGGATCCCCTGAGGACAGACAGCTCCACGTCCAGCCTTGGGGGAAGACACAGCTGTGCGTGGGACAGAGCTGCACAGAATGCAGGCTGCGCGCGGGGAGTGCA